TTACGGATAAGTATAAAATAATATATCAAGTTTTAATTTCGAAGGAGGAAGCTAATATAAATGATTATACCGTATGTGATATAAACCGTGAAATGTTTTAGCATTAAGGATAATGGTGAATTTTTATACACGTAGCAACAAGTGAAAGGAGGATGAATTTTAATTTGATGGGAGATATAGTTAATTCATGAAAGATAAAAAAAAAAACTACGTATCAAGACTTGAATCAGTTTAAAATAAATAAATAAATAAATAAATAAATAGACATTCAGACTTCATATAATTAATTGGGACTAATACATTAAGCTTTATTGAGGTGCTAAGCACGTAGAACATAAAGAGTTACTAAGGACTTAGAAGTTAGAATTAAACACAAAAAAGGACCTTGGACTAAAAAAATGGTTCCCATGAGATTCGAACCCTAGGTGATAACCATTGTTGTGATGTGCCGCTCTACCACTACGCTACGACAACTTTAGTGAAATTTTGATGCAACGTATATGATATATTGTAAATTGGATTTTGGGGCCCTTTTAATTTAGGGGCCCTGTGCGGTGGGGCTGGTTGCACAGCCTCATCACCGGCCCTGAGTGTTATAAAGGTTACCCCGATAGTGTTATAGGAGTGATTTTGTTCTTTTGCAAGCAGCCACATACACTGGTGCCTTGTCACAAGAAAAATGTGTTTTTTTTTTTTTTTTTTTTTTTTTTTTTTTTTTTTTTTTTGCGTTGATGATTATTGAATTAATAATAAGGTAGTTACCGATGAACGATTATTATATTAGTTAATGTTATAAATGTTGCTTTGTTCTTTTGCAACTGGTCATACGTTGTGGCTAGTTGCATACAAAACATGATGTATACATTTTATGTTTCACAAAGTTTCATATGTGGTTGGCCACATCGTGTGGTTGGGTTATATGTTTACGGGTTACTTAGTCAGTCAGGGGTTACTCGAATGTCAAAGGTTACTCGATCCAAGGTCACTCGGTCTGTAAGGTGTTACTCGGTCAAACAAGGGTTAATCAGTCAGAGGATACTTGGTCAGGTAAGGGTTACTCAACTCGGTCAGAAGTTATCGGGTTAGCTTTTTTTTTTTGTGTTTTAATTGGCCACGCGTAGAGAACATACTCTTTTTGTTTTGATACTTATTAAATTAATAAAATTGGTAGAGTAATTTTTTGTGTACTAACTTTTTTTTTATACAATATTATTTAAAATGGATGGGTTTGTTATTAGGAAAAATAATAAAAATAGTAGAAGTGGAAGTCTTTTTTTAGGAAAGAAGTGGAAGTTATTTGAAGGATTATTTTTGTTTTTTTTTTAAATAACATGAAAGTTATTTGGAGTGCATGAAAATTGAGGATTGGGGTTTTAGAAAAACCTTATTAACTTACTCTTAAATTATATAATAGATTCTCTTTTGGCTTGTTTGGTAACCAGAATTTCATTTGGTCAAATTTAGTTGTTTGGATATGCTTAGAATTTGGAAATTAAAATTAGCCCAAATCCAAGATTATAAAGACATGGGTATATTTTGATATATTGAAATTTCAATCCTAAATCTGTCATTTCAAATTCTAATATTCATTAAAAAAATCCCAACTCTCTCTCTCTCCTATGTCGTACACAAGTTTCATTCTCTTCCCCAATTTTTTCTCACTCCTAGGGTTCTTCACCATAGAAGCATACACAAGTTCTCTCACCCCTCCTCTATTAAAGCGAGCTTCAAATTTCATCCTCGACCATTAGAGTGTACCCTATTTAAAATGGCTGAAATTTGCTCGACCAATTTGGAACTTCTTCGGCACTAATTTACTGAAAAATCGGAGGAATTTGGACTTAATAGAGGATCCTTGAACTAATTTGGGGGATTTTTGAACTTTTTTGGTAGTAATTTACCGAATAATTGGAAAATTTTGGTTTAATTTAAGGTTTATTGAAGAAAAAAATTTGATAATTTAAGCAAAGGAAAAGATGAAAACTTGAGAATTTAAAATTGAGGAGGAGAGAGAATGGGAATTTGTGTGACTTAACAGAGTAGTTTCATTTGCTAAATTCAAAATTTCACTCATCTCAAAATATAGGTTAGAATTTGACATTCAGGAAATGAAATTTTGATATTTCCCAAATACCCATTTTTTTTTTTTTCGAAACATCCCAAATACCCAATATTGAAATTGAATACTTCCTCCGTTCTTTTTTTATTGCACCATAGGAGGTTGACACAAGATTTTTGGTAGTGGAAAAAATGATGAGAGAGAAAGGTAAAAATACAAGATTGCCCATGTGATGGTACACATAAACTAAATAATCATGTGTTCAAAAATAAGGGTATATTTGGTATTTGTAGTGTGAACACAAGTATTTCTTTTCCTAAAATAGAAATGGTGCAATATTGTGATACATCCTTAAAAGGCAAGTGGTGCAATATTAAAAAAACGGAGGAAGTATTAAACTTTGAAATTCAATTTCAAAATTTAAAATGATTATCATGTTTCCAAACACAACCTAATTTTAATTTGGATTATCTTTTAAGATTCAAAACATAATTATGTTTTGGGTAATTTTGTTTTTAGATAGTTGATACAAATTCAAATGCATGTGTTTATAATACGAGTATATATAGTGATTATCTATATACTTAGTATACATTTTCAAAATTTTCGATCTCTGAACCCTCCTCAGCTTGTTCTTGAGCCACCAAAGACTTCTAAAGCTTCTTATTAGCTTCATCTGCTTGTTTCTTTGCCTCTTTTAACTCATTGAGTGCATAATTCCTCTCCACCCTAGTTCTCCGCCCCTAAGTTCTATCCCTTGCTCTACAGTTGTGCAGATTTAAGTAAGTCTTCTTAAATTGATCTAAAGGTGATTGGGTGGGCCAGGTTCAGGCCATGCCGAGATCGAAAAATAAACCCATTATACGGACAAGGTCTGGTCAAGTTTCAGGCCAAAAAATATGTGCCCTAACCCGCCCAAACTAGCTGGCCCGTACAGGCTTTTCGGCCATTTCTGGGTCGGGCAAAAAAAAAAATCAACTAAAAATGCATAACATCCCATTAAAATTTGGGTCGGGCTAGAAAAATCTAACCAAAACCTGTCCAAAAACGGTTCGGGCTTACTTTGATCAGATCTAAATTGATCTCTACTCTTCCTTTCACTCCTCTTCCTCGTCTATTATAGTTTTATATAACTGTAGAGTTCTAAATTTTTTTGTTGCTTTTGACTTTGCTTTTTTTATGAAGCAAACCGGTTTTTATTATTACTACCTTAATTAACACATTTCTTTTATCACGCTTATCAAAAGCACTATTTTAACGATTAATATCTTTAATTCTTGACATAGTAAAATTATAAAAAGTAGATATTAATAAAATATATGTTGAGACGATTTAAATAAGATTTCATTTGACTATGTTTTATCGTATTTATAAATCAAAATAGCTAGTCAAATGGTAGTTTGTGAACGGTGTTAAAAAAAAACCGGATGTACGATTTTTTTTTTTTTTAAATAAAATAAGATTCAATAACTCTTCCTCAATTTTTTCTAAAAAATGGTCTTAAATGTGTTTTTTTTTTTATTTATCACACTTTCTCACACCTTCAATGATTTTTTAGAGAAGGTGCAATGAAGAGTAAAACACATTTAAGAAATTTGTTGGCATAATAACACTAAGGGACTGTTCACATTTACTTAATTTCAGTTCAGTTCAGTTGAGCTCCAATCAGTTAAGTTCAGTTCAGCTCCAATCAGATCAGTTTAGCTCCTTATTTCTTTCTCTCATAAAATATTCATTTCAGTTCAGCTCGATCAGTTCAGCTTCAATCGGTTCAGTTCAGTAAATGTGAACATGCCCTAAGATAATAACGTGGATAGAGTTAATAAGACTGAATTATCTTTGACATTGTTACCAGTCTTAAATTCTATTGTTTATTTAAGATAATAACGAGAAGAGAGATAATACCAACAAATTATCTTTGGCATTGTCACCCGTCTTAAATTCGTCAACAATTCAGCATGTGTAGTTTGTATAGAATTTGCAGAATTTCAGAGTTGGTGATATTAAATTTTACTGTTCTATAGTCTACTCTGTTAGCCTGATGAAGATTGTATGTCGATTTTAGATACATTAACGGCTTGTTTGGATACACTAGCAAGAAGGAAAGGAAGGGATGGGAGGGAAGAGAATAAGAGGGGAGGAAAGAAGAAATTGAACCTTCCTTGTTTGGATAAAGGAGAAAAGGGAGGAAGGGGAGGGACATTCACCATTTTTTTTTTTTTTATTTCTTAATCTGTGGGTTGCTTGCATTCAACAATCAACATTATACTAATTTTTTCAGGGAAAAATTGTAGTTATTTGTTTTATAATATAAACCTGATTAAAAAAAATATATTGATAAACGTCATTAAAATCAAACAAATAATTTAATATCCTATGTTCTTCAAAAAAAAAAAAAAAAATCTTATGTAAATTAATCTAAAACATCAGACTGATTTTCAAACAGATTTTTCAAAACTGATTTTCAAACAAATTTTCCAAAACTGATTTTCAAACAAAAAAAAAAAAAACAAAGAAATACATAAAAAAAAAAAAAAAAAAAAGAAAAAAAAACGAATTGAAAATCAATTAAACATTAGCAATGAAGAAGAGCAGCAGATCCCTAGAAATTGGAGGATATAATTCGTGAGAAGCAGTTTAGTATAACTTGGTGAAATTAATTGGCCTTACCTTGAAAATTCAAGAGATTGAAAGAGATAAATTAAACAATTAAACAAAACTTTTCCCTTCATTTCCTTCCCCTCCATTTCCCTCACTCCCTTTATTTGTTATCCAAACAATGGATTTAATCTCCCTCCCTTTCCCTTCTCTTCCTTTCTCTCCATTTCTTCTTATCCAAACAAGCTGCAACACTTGATGCTTTGATAGAACTGATATTTAATTTTGTAAAATGATTGCTAGAAGGATCAAAAACAACAAGAAACATGTTAGCGCTTAGCGATGGTTATGAGCTGCTATTGGATCTTCTTTCTCCCAATGTGTTCAATTTGTTTGTTATTATCTGAGGTGGACATTAACACTTTGTATCACAACGTTTAATCACTATGTATTATGATTGTATGTTACAGAGAAAGCTTATAAAATTGTTCACTAATGCTATAAACTTTTCCTCCTCACTAACAATGAGTAATGAGCGACAAATTGCATACTCCACGGCGAGCTCCCTGAGCAATATGTGCAGTGTGATGTTGGCAGCCTTCACATCTATGAATAATTTTTGAATTACACTGCTCATACAAAGTCCACGGTGAGCTCCCTGAGCAAGATGCAAGCGCTTGCTTCAATCTAAAGTAGGCTTATCCCCAAATAGATCTGAAAATAAATACATATTAGCAGAAAAAAATGCACCCATTTTCCACTTCTTTAGAATAAATGCATTGGATATTAAGCATTGGATATGCAAGTTTTCTCATGAAAAGAAATGAGCAAGCTAGAAAGCAGATCCACATCAGTCAGAAAATACTGTTATAACATAGTTTGTGACTTTGTACTTGATACACAACTGAACAAAGACACATAACACACATTCATCATTTCATATGCATATTTATGTTGGATATCTGACAATTAAACATACGTCTATCTAACTAAAATACAAAGCAAACCATACTCATTAATATCCAGTCTGAACGGAAAAAAACATTTGATCATTTCACTCAAACAAGAAATTGAAGGTGAATTTGAACATTTATTGCTAGAATCACATAAGAAACTAACCATGATCAAAGATGATATACAAAGAAAATAAAGACCAACCTCTCAACCGATCTAGCTTTCCAACCACTATTAAAGTCAAGAAAGGCCACATTGCACCTCTACATTAAGGTGTATAGTAGCTACCTTATACCGATCCTGCAAACAATACACTATTAAAGTCAATATAGAGGCCACATTGCACCTCTGTTCAGAAAATTTTAGAGAAGGTTCAGCAGGTAAGTTATGTTTTTCCTTGAAGACTATGATATGAGAATATCTGGTAATTTAGCATGAAATGAAGAAGCAGCACTAAATGATACGAAGCAGTTGTTCAAGAGAGGCCTGGATATTAGGAATTGGTTGGTCATATATTGATACATAACTTCCTTTGCTGTCCTGGAGATCTGCAAGATTGCGGGATTGCCGGGATATGGCTCCCACAACAGCCCCAAAGCCCTTCATGTTCAACAAAAATCTGTGGCTTCTATTGTAGTAGATTATTTTATGCGTATCATTTATTTTTAAGGCAAAAGCTAACAAACCCCTAGAGCTAAATGTGAAAATATTATACTAAAATTACTATTAATTATATCGATCAACGCTTGATTTTGTCATGCATTTCGAACTTAATATTATTTTAAATAATATATTAAATCCTTATCTAATACCCTGAGGCGCTTGTTTGGAAGATCCTATTTTTAATTACTCGTAGTTCACAGCATTAACTAGGTGCGCAAATTACAGCAAGGTGTAGCAGCAGTAGCTGTTTCTGAAGCTAGAAAAGCTGAAAATAAGGAGGCAAAGCGGCTACCACTTTATTCAACCACTTCAGACGATAGTCTTTACTTCACAACAGTTTCTGTTAATTCGACAGAATAAAAAACAAAGAGTGCACAGGCAAAACGAATCTGTTTGCAACTGAAATCAGTTTGCAGCAGGACTGAATTGACGTAAGATTCTGAAACCAAAATCAGACGTTTCAGAAAAAAAAAAAAAAAAAAGAATAAATAAATACTACCTCCTTTACATATTATTTACAACGATTAAACATTTTTCCTCTTTACTTTATGTCAAATCGTTGCAAATAATATGTAACTGAGATAGTAAATAAAATAAAAAGACACCATATACGTAGTAATAACTTCTCATATGTTCCACTTCTTTTTCTAATATAGTATTATTAGTATCTAAGAGTATAATATTATTAAAACAGGGAACTACATGGGATTGCCATGTGTCACCCCTTATCTCAAGATGATTTGGCACCACATGAACTTATATGTCACCTTACGTGTCATTACTATTCGCACACACATTATTGAAGTAATTAATGTTTAATCTTCTATAAAAACTCTTCTTAGGCATAACCTCCTTATAGTGATTATTTTAACCTACTAAAAAACTCTTCATATATATAACATCCCTATTTAATTTTCATCTATAATATGTAACTCCTTAGTATATACAATAATCTACCCTCTAATTTATAAGAAATTAATTATTATTATTATTACTTAATATATGAAGTATAATGAATAAAACCTACCACTTTGCAACTTTAGTTTTGAGTGTGGTTAGCTAATTAAATATTTTTTTTGTTATTAAGTGTACACAATTATGATGTTTTATAAAAAATAAAAATTGAGTCACTTTCATCCCATTTTTATATGCATTTTTACCATATAATGTAGTTATAAAATGCTGTAATATTTAGTAGTATGGATATGAAATAATAAAAATTTCATACAACCCCCCCCCACACACATATATATATGTTCATCCAATAGGCGCCACTCTCTTTCTGAGTCATTCTAGCTTCTTCATGATTTCGTGCCGTGGTGAACAAACAATTATATTTATATTCATTTATAAATATTATATTGTTGAACATTAACCTTCTAACTTTAATTTTGATCAAACTTACAAATTTAAAATGATCCGGGGCATCGTCCCGGGCAATAACTAGTTTCTTTCTAAACTCGAAATTTCTTGTGTATTAGCATAGCATGGGTACACTCTAAAAGACTAAAACACATAATAATTTTTGTTTATATACGGACAATGGTAGCAAAGATAGTGAAAGTCATTTTTGCAAAAGAATTAGAAAGAGTAACATTCGGGTAATTACTTTGAACCTCAGATTTAACCTTGCAATTACATTAGAAAACTGATACATAATCTATCTTGCAATTGATATTCTACAATCCAGCAGTGATTCTGTATTCACAATATAAGAGAAAACACCAAGTTCTTTAAACTTAATAAAGGAATGCAAATGTAAACGGAGTTCGTTATTTAACATAGAGAATAAAGACCAAGATATTTTCGAGTCTAAATCATAAGCATAGAACAGAAAACCAGAAAAGAAGGTAGTACAGGCCTACAAGGTTTAGCAAATTGTTGGTCAGCTTTCTATTACCTGTTTAGCAAATCTTTCTCCGTGAAGTTGATGCACCAACTAGCCACCAAGGCATTCCCCTACTTCAACTAGTGTCCATTATTTTCAATGTTTCATACTATCTTGAATAAATCAATTCCATGAAGATGTAAGATTATCTCTGCAATATGCTGCAGAAGAAGATTGTGCATCCCCATGCAGAACTGAATTACTCACAGCCTTTGGAAGGATCTCTGAAAACGTCATAGGATAATTAGACAGTTTATTGTTATGTAAGGCTCAAGCTCCACAATTGATCCAAACATCATAATATAGACAGTTCATTGTTATGTAAGGCTCAAGTTCCGCAGTTGGTCTCGATATGCTAAAATAGACCGTTCATTGTTATGTAAGGCTCAAGCTCCGCAGTTGGTCTCGATATACTAAAATAGACCGTTCATTGTTATGTAAGGTTCAAGCTCCACAGTTGATTTTGATTTCATAAAAAGCAGTTGATGATCACAGAACTTAGGGGTGGCTATCATTTAGAATCAAAAGGCAAAAGTCAGTAAAGTCTTGATTTTCAATCGTGACATATTAAGTTGGCTATATATGTAACAGATTCAGAGAGAATTAGTTTAAATAGCATCAATCGAAGTGCAAGAAAGAATCACAGCAAAACACAAGGATCATTTTGTTTAAGAGAGAGAAACTGTACTGTCTGTTCTAGGATTTCAATTGTTCAAGAGAACCTGATTTCAGAAACAAGGATCAATTAATCACTTTGATTAGCGTGCATTGTAAGAGATTATTTATCCATCCTCTTTGAGATTTACAAGTCATTATCATGTTTCATAGCTATCTTGATGCAAATCATGTGCTCTATACAGCAATATATCATCAGATATAACACATTTTATAGCTATATCTTGATGCTAATTATGTTTCCTTTTCCTTTCTTTCTTATTTATTTACTTAATATTTTATTTATTTCTTTTAAATATGTATTGATCATTAACGATTTTTTTGTATAGGATTGAAAATTTAAACTTGAAATCCACCTATGTATAGAATAGTTCAAGTTTATAAGTGACCATAAAAAAAGTTCTGAAATTGGGCCTCCATGGTGAGTTGCCAATAATGTAAGGAACTCTATGTGTAGTTATGAGAATGCATCACAGTGCAACTAACAATGTGGATCTCAGCTAGAGAAACATGTGGTTGGTTGTTTGGCTATTAAAGTTAAATGTACATCTATTATGATCAGACCCATATCAATGCACTCAAAGAATCTTCTATTTGTCTATTCCCATTAAAAACGCCAATCTTCCTCCTGATTCCTTATAACAGTTCAATAAGATGATGCAGGTCCCAGCTAGAGTCAGAGATATGGCAAAGATTCTTCTGAACTATGTGCCCGTCTATGCAATGCTACCGGTAAGCCCTAATTAACACAAGCATCAGCTACTTATACTCGAATAACAGAGTCACAGAATGACAAATCCTTTATTTGTTTGATGGAAACAGTTGGGAGTGGTTACAGATGACAACAACTTTGAGAACCAGGATGACATCAAGAGACAACTATACAAACTGAAGGAAGCAGAAGTTGATGGAGTCATGGTTGACGTCTGGTGGGGAATAATAGAAGCTAAAGGACCTAAGCAATACAATTGGAATGCTTACAGAAGCTTATTTCAGGTCATAAAGGATTGTGGCCTGAAAGTACAAGCCATAATGTCATTTCATCAATGTGGAGGGAATGTAGGAGATGCTGTGAACGTTCCACTTCCTCATTGGGTACTACAAGTTGGAGATACAAACCCTGATATTTTCTATACTAATAGAAGGGGTACTAGAAACAAAGAATATCTGACTATTGGTGTTGATAATGAAGCTATCATTGGAGGACGAACTCCGGTTCAGGTAACTATCCTTCCCAATTAAAGCCTGCAGTTTTACCAAATAATTTTTACACAAAGTATTAAATGGAGTTTAAAATCCCTAGGTTTCTCTAAATTCAATAGTTTGTTGGCACTAATTTCTTCCTATAACTTCACAGATCTATAGCGATTACATGAAGAGCTTCAGACAGAGTATGTCAGATTTTCTAGATGCTGGTGTGATAGTTGACATTGAAGTAGGTCTTGGCCCAGCTGGAGAACTACGTTATCCTTCTTATCCACAAAATCAAGGATGGAGCTACCCAGGAATAGGGGAATTTCAGGTTTAAATGAAATGGGCTCTGCCAGCTAATCCGACATGCCCACTTATGTGTAACTAAACTGATAAAAATAGCTTATGTTTAGAAGCTAACTGAATTTCGATTTTTTTTATTGTGCAGTGCTATGACAAATATTTAAAGGAGGATTTTAAAAAAGCAGCAACTGAGGCTGGCCATCCTGAGTGGGAATTACCTGCAAATGCAGGGCAATATAATGACAGACCAGAAGCCACAGAGTTTTTCAGAAACAACGGGACGTACCTTACTGAAAGTGGAAAATTCTTCTTGACTTGGTATTCAAACAAGCTGTTGATCCATGGTGACCAGATCCTGGAAGAAGCAAATACAGCATTTTGTGGCTGCAAAGTCAAAGTAGCAGCAAAGGTAAGTAAATATAGTCATAGGAGCATCAATTGCTAGAGAAAGTATTGTCCACAAGGTGACTAAATTTATTTGTTTTCAATTGACAACCAGGTTTCTGGAATACATTGGTGGTACAATGATGAAAGTCATGCTGCTGAGGTTACTGCAGGATACTACAACTTGAAAGACCGAGACGGGTATCGTCCAATAGCAAGGATGCTGTCTCGTCACTATGGGGTTTTAGACTTTACATGTCTGGAGATGAAGGACTATGAACAGCCTGGTTATGCTAAAAGTGCTCCACAAGAGCTTGTGAAACAGGTGAGGGCATGAGAGCTTGATGATCAAATAATTCTCTACTATGTCAGGTCAATAGCATCCAAAACAGTGTAGCACGGGATACTACACGATTTCTCATGAGACCTTGCAAATTATTGACTAATAATTGATCTTTGATTAAAACCTATACAAGTTCAAACCATCAAAAACTCTTGTCAATTCCTTGTTGTTGTTACATAACAAATATGATGATATCAGAATGCACATGACACTAACAATATTCTTTTCAAAAACAATCATACTAAGATTAGTAAGGTATGCTACAAAATTAATTCCATGTGAATTTCCATACCTTTGACATGGTGCACAATTTTTATGTGCAGGTCTTAAGTGGTAGCTGGAGAGAAAGCATTGAGGTTGCAGGTGAAAATGCACTTCCCAGATATGATCCCAACGCTTATGATCAGATGCTGCTGAATGCCAGGCCAAATGGGGTGAACAGAGATGGTCCGCCAAAACTGAAAATGTATGGCTTGACATATCTTCGTTTGTGCAATCAGCTACTGGATGGGGGTAATTTTGGAACATTCAAGACATTTGTAAGGAAAATGCATGCTGATCAAGTAAGTGACCAGATTTACCATCACAATATATGAATGTAATTGAGCTTCTATGGAAAAGGCACAAAATGCTTCATTCTTATAATATTCTTAAAATTATGTTCAGGAGTACTGTCCGAACCCTGAAAATTATGGACGGCACATCACTCCACTGGAGCAGTCAAAGCCAAAGATTCCTCTGCAGGTTCTTCTAGAAGCAACTAAACCAATGGAACCATTTCCCTTTGACAATGAAACGGATATGAAAGTTTGAGAAGCTTTTATAATAGAGTTAACCCAAGGCAGTTGGCAAACATGCAATTGTCAAGCAAGAAAATAATGTTTCCTTTTCCGTTAAGATAGGCTAATAAGACCCAGGTAGGCTAATAAGGAAGCCACAGAACCTATCTGTGGGAATCCTCACTGGTCGTTGTTTGTTGTTAATTGTTGTTGATGTTTCCGCTGTTGTTTTTTCCAATAAGGAAGTTTCCTTCATCATAAGGATACTTACGAGAATGAAATAAAACCTGAGAAGGATGTCTCAGAAAATGTTTGCTGTTTAACTGTACAAGTGTTGGTAATATACATCGCTTTTAACCCCTCAACAGTTCACCCAGTACCACTTCATCAAACAATAAACAGAAGATCATGTTCTTTTTGCCGGATAGTTCTCATAAGTTCCCTTTGCTATATGATCGCGCTGTAGTCACAGTCACTTATTGTACATACAATCAAGTCATTAAATGGGTGGCATACAATATCATTGAAGAATGAAGATCATTTCATACCCTGCTTACTACGACATAAGTTTCACGGTCAGGCAATCACAATCAAATTCACTGGTGATTGAATGAGTGAAAGCCCTATCTTTAGAATCCCAAATGTCCCAACTACAATAATTATTTCGCTGTCATACTACTCAATGAAGCTAGAACCTCTAGGCATAACCAGTCCTTTACTTTGTAATTTAACTCGTAGCTTCTCTGCATCATCCCACCGTTTCTCATCAGCATATACATGTGATAAAGAAATGTAGCTGCTTACTCTATTTGGATTTTGTTCAGAAACTTTCTGAGCAGACACCTCAGCTAGACCAACATTACCATGAAGCCTACAACCAGAGAGAAGAGAAACCCATACATCATCTGTCGGTTCCACTGCCATATTGTTAATGATTACATATGCTTCCTCTAAGTGTCCTGCTCTGCTAAGAAGATCAACCAAGCATTCATAATGAGCCAGTGCAGGTTTCATGCCATACTTCTGTTGTATTTGATTAAAAATTTCTCTCCCATCCTCAACAAGTCCTGCGTGGCTACACGCAGTCAATGTACAAGTAAAAGCGCCCTCGTCAGGAACAATGCCATTTCCTACCATTTGGTCAAAAACTGAAATAGCTTCCCTTCCTTTCCCATGGTGCCCGTATGCTGAAATCATAGCAGTCCAAGAAACCAAATATTTCTCTGCTATTTCATTAAAAACACGTTGTGAACAAGACAGCCTACCACATTGGGTATACATACCTATAAGAGAAGTTGCAGCCATAATGCTACATCCAAACCCTTTCTGAACAAGATAAGAGTGAATAGACATGCCAAAATCAATGGCAGTGACCTGTTCACAAGCCCTCAGCAGAGCAATGATCGTAGCTAAGTCCGGCTGTTCACCATATGAAACCATTTGGCAGAAAAGTTTTAAACCTTCAAAACCCTTGCCAATTTGTACATAACCTGAAATCATTGTATTCCAAGTAACAGAATCCTTCCATGAGACAGCGAACAACCGCCTTGCGTACAACATTGTCTTGCATTTACAATACAACTCAACAAGAGAATTGGTCAAAAATCTATTAGAACTAAACAAGCTATTCCGTAAAACATAGCCATGTACTTCCTTACCCTTCTCAACCATTTGCATATCAGAACAAGCCGAAAGGAGACCGAGAAAACTAGTCGAATCAGGAATTAATTGAGATCTAAGCAACAAAACAAAAATACACAAGGCCTCTCTAGAGTAACCATTCTTTGCATACCCAGTGATCATAGTATTCCAAGAGGTCAAATCTCTCTTAGACATTCTATCGAACACTAACCGTGCATTCCTCATTTCCCCGAATTTCGAGTACATTGCCAATAAACAATTACCCACATAAACATCCGACTCAAACCCACTAATCACAACCTCACCATGAATTATCTTCCCAAACCCAACAAGCAAAGAATCACCACAAGCCTTAATTACAAAAGGGTATGTAAAATTATCAGGTTGAACACCAAAATTAATCATTTTACGATAAAACAACACAGATTTAAGATAAAACCCACATCCAGTATAACCCCTAATCATATAATTCCATAAAAACGAAGATTTAAACTCAATTCGATCAAAAAATTTCTGGGCTTCTGACATTTTTCCACAATTTGCATAAAATGCAGCAAGTTTAGTGCTTAAATTTGTGTTTTTATGAAGAATACCAGAAGATAACATAAGGGCATGAAGAGCTTTGCCTGTTTTTAAGGATTTGGAGTTGGTAAGGGACTGAAGGATAGCTCGACATTGAAGCGACGAAAATGGAAGCGTCGGAATTTGGTTGTTTAAATCGACGGAAATTGAGGAAGATGAAGTGTGGAAACTAGTGTGAGAATAGATAAGAGATTTGAGAGAGTTTCTGTGCATTGCTGCAAGCCTGCAATGTATGCACAACGCAGAATTTTGGTACTTGGTGATTGCCATTTTAATTTCATTCATGAATCACCCTTTTTTTTTTTTTTTTTTTTTTTTTTTTTGTTTGTTTTATATTTGAAAGTTCGTTAACTTTTTAAAAACTTATGAAAATTATATTACAGGTCGTTAGTGTTACAGGATTACACCGTTACGGAGCATGTTGTTAGGGACTTAGGGTAAAGGTTAGGGGTTATGGAGTTAGGCTTTGTTCATATTTATTGAACTGAATTGATTGGAACTGAACTGAATTGAATTGAGGTGAAATGAATATTTTATGAACGAAGGAAATTAGGATCTGAACTGAAATGATTGGAGTTGAACTGAAATTAAGCTGAAGTGAACAAGTCTGTAATAATGTGTTGCCTTTGTTTCATAGTAATCGTCATGACACGTAATTTTGTTAAAATCATAGGGTGGGGTCGGAGCGGGAGTTTAATACTTCATCCGTTTTTTAGTACTTGTTCCATTTCTTCGGACGCAGAGTTTTAGGAGTACTTCATCCGTATTGTAAGAAATGCAACATTTTCATCATTTCATAATAATTGCAACATTTTCATATTTGGTGTGGAACCACTACTATATTATTATTTCTCTCTCCTTCCAACCCACTTGCACCATCTTTTTATTATTTCTCTTTCCTACTAACAATTAAATCGCCTTAAGCTATTTGATATTCCCGCCGTTTTTTTTAAATGCCCCATAGTAGGGCTGGCAATCCCTGACCCGACCCATTAACCCGACCCGAAGTTATCGAGAGAAAACCAAACCCGACTCGATCTGAACCCAAACAACCCGGATTTGACCCGATTTGACCAAAATTTCTTATTTCATAACAATATTAAGTTTTACACTATTTTTTTTTTATTGTTTTCAAGCATAACCCGAAATCTGGCTTGAACCCGACTTGCTAACCCGAATTACCATCCATACCCTATAGTGATATGATACGTATTTCGATGCAAAATTTTGACTAATAATATCATTAATTATCATTAACTATAAATTATACTTCCTCCGTTTCTTTTACTTGCAACACTTCCCTAAAAAGGAAATGTCACAATACTTGCAACACACTATAAAAGGAAACTTACTTTAGGGAAAAACTATACTATTTCCCTTATTTAAAGCACATGGCCCACTAAATTACACTCCTAACAACCACTCATCTTATTTTAAAGTTTATTATATCATGTAAATCTCACCTTTCTTAATTACCACGCTAAAGGGTGTGTTGCATCTAAAAGAAAACGGAGGAAGTATAACAATTGAATATTAATTATCTACTCATCCAGAAGATTCTAACAAGTACCTATAATAGACTATATTTTTCTTATGTATAATTCAGAAACATTGGTCAAAGTATGTTTAATGAATAGTGTGTCAAAAATCCCCAATAGGGCACTTAAAAAAACGGAGGAAGTAATTAGCTGCTAATTGATATATCTGGTTGTGTTAACAGGTTTAATTAGTTGGTTTAACTAGCCAGTTGTTAATAGGTGATTTTGTAAAAAGTAAATGGTAAACATTGGTAATCGTTAGTTATTTCAGTGTTTGTAATACCCAAAAAGTTAATTGTTTAATAAACTAATTTCAAAAGATTGTTTTGATGAGATTATTCCGAATGATATGAATGATATGATTAATTAATTGTTTATATGATATTATTAATTGCCTTGATCGGATGATATGATTGGTTGGCTAACTGGATGACATAGTTAATTGTTTGGATGGTATGATTAATTGTTTGGATGATATCGATTTTCAAGCATTTAAATTGGATGATATGATTAATTGGCTAAATAACATGGCTAATTGGCTAGATAATATGATTAAGTGTATATATATACGTTATCTCATATGTTTATTTAGCATTTTTGAAGGTTTTTTTTTCTTATTTTGGACTTGTCTTACGGACGAAGTCATTAGTAAAGCAAGTCTCACCCAATATAGAGTTTCTTAAGTATAATTAGTAGCAAAGAGAATACGAAGCATTTCAAAAAGTATTATAAGTAAGGTTGATAGGATCAAGAAATAATGTGCAAGTGGAGTTATTAGGAGAGGGTATGGTTAAAGTAATTCGGATTATAATCGAATCGAACCGAACCAAAAATCAAACCGAATTACTCGGGCTTGTTTGGCATCATTTTTTGTTTTTAGTTTCCTGTTTTTTTGAAAACTAAAAACCAAAAACAGGAAACAAGAAAAAGGTGTTTCCACTTTTTTGTTGTCAGTTTTCAAAATCATCATGATTTTAATAAGTCTAAATAATTTTTGATTCATTATGTGACATATATAATATACTTTTAAAAAACAAAAAACTAAAAAACAGAAAACCACAGCAATGCCAAACGAACCCTAAATTACTAATTCGGTTTTGATTTTTCTTTTGAATTCGAATTGGATTTGGTTTGGAAAAAATTAAAAATTATGGATTAGGGTTTGGATTTGATTTGGGGTTTAAAAAATGGAAATACAAGTTATTCTGCTAGATAAACGAATTTTGTTAATGTGATGGCATTTTTGTAAATATATTGAAAAAGTAAGGTCATTTATTCAATACTTTTGATGAGCTGTCCAATTACTGTTTGCCTTTTGCTTTTACTGTTTGGTGAGGAAATTACACATGTACCCCTCAACTAGCTTAGTACATGAAAAGACACATATACCCCTCCACTAGTACCTGAAAAGACGTACAATTATGCCCCGTGATAAACAAATTTTGTTTATCTGAGGAATTAACTGGGAATAGCCCTTAAAAAACAGAAAGCTGAATTATAAACCGAAATTTTGACCCATTACATTAAGTCATTAAGCCTGCTTGTTTTTACAAAGTATATATCCCAACCCCTTCTTCTTTCATATATAAACCCAAATTATAAAAATATCTGATTTTCAATTCTCCTTTCTCAGTACTAACTCACTCTCTTAAAAAGTCACGACTCATCGCTCATGGCCTCACGCCACATCTTCTCACTTTTCTCCCTCATTTCACACTTCAATTGGCTTACCAGCCACCCTCATCAGCCACATCTTCTCCAGTTCTCCATCCTCTCTCAATTTCTTCATCAACATTGGTAGTGGATATTAAAAAGAGAACTTATTTTTAACAACAAAAAAAGGTTGAATGATTGCAATAAATTCTGAGTGAAGTTCAAATTTTGGGTTTGATTGTTGCAAAAGAAGAAAACAAATTAAATTTTAATTTGGATTGGATTCTAATTAGAAAAACCAAATTAATTCGGTTTGGTTTGGATTGGACTGAATCTTGATTTGGTTTGGATTCGATTTGAGAAATCCAAAATCGAATTAATTCGGATATATAAGATTTGATTTTAGCTATAATCTAAACCGCAAACCGAACTTTCATCCCTGAGAAGAAATTAATTAATACAACAGTAGTGAGTCCTTACTAGATGGGTAACTCTTGCAATTATTATAAAATGAATGTAAAAGAAATTGTCGCGATTATTACTAAATGAATAAGGCATGTTATAGATATGTTGGGACATGCAAATTAATTAAGGAATTTAATAGGGTTATGTAAGTCGTGAGAGAAAGAAAATTAGTGGAGAGACCCAAATCACATGTTTTATATGTGTGGGTAAAACAAATTTCATTCTAATGTAGGTAATAAGTATTTTGTGAACATCTTAAAAAAGGGGATACAAAAAGATTATTTTAAAGGGACTTACTATATCTTTCTTTTGGCGTCCAGTACCACATTATTTAAAACCACTTTGTGGTCACCACTTATATATTTATCTCATCTGATAACCTATATATGCAACTTCACTCCGCTGGAAAACTAGTGTGTCACTTAGGCCCCGTTTGGTTTAATGTAAAAATTTTCAATGAAAAATTAGTTTTCATGGAAAATATATTTTCAAGGAAAAACACAATTACAAATTAATTTTCCTTTGTTTGGTTGCATACAAGAAAAGTCCAAGAAAAATAAAAAAAATAGGAGTGAAAATTTAAGGATGAATGAGAGGGGAGTAAAAAAAGAGGTAAGGAGCAGAGAGGAAAATGTGGCTTCCCTAATTTTAGGAAGGAAAATGTTTGTCATCATTAAGGATGGAATTTTCCACCCTTGAAAAAATTGTTTTCCACCCTTTAACAAACCAAACAAAGGAAAATGGGAAAAAATGAAAAATTCATTTTCCATGAAAACCTTTTACATCAAACCAAACAAGGCCTTACAAAAAGGAGGAAGCTTAGAGATCGGAGTATGGCAATATTATACAAAATGACAATGAAAATGAGCAAACTTTAAATATCAAGACATAATCTTATCTTGTTGTAATTGAACATATAGTAGTAGTGTTGAGAGAATAAAACAAGTATTCTAGTATAAGCTCTATAATTAGGTAGTCTTACGTCAACTAAGTATGGAAGATCAGTCATCAACTCGTCATTAAACAAACAATAAAAGGTCCACCTATATTTCACTTCACGCTTAATTACCGATTCACTGACAACTACACTTTTTTTGTTTTTTTTTTTTTTTTTTTGGCTTGTTAAGCTTGCTTAATTTATTAAAAAAAAAGGCCATTATTTTTTGTGATGTATGTATTAAATTAATTAGTTTAGAAAGGTGGCTCCTTTTACGCAATTGCTTACCAAAACATACCCTTTAATCTATCTTCTGCATCTTTTGTGTGTACTCAACAATATTCCATGTTTTAGGGATCAAACTGTCTCTAATATGACGTTGACGGTTTATGTATGTATTCCTTAGCTAGCTCATTTTGGTACTTTTTTCAAGCCGTTTTTTCATTCGTCATTTACCTTTCAACAGATTTAACACTCGGACAAAAAATAACCATTTCACATCATCAAACTAGTAGATAGGGTATATTCGATAAAACTAATTACTAGTAGTGCATAATATATATAGGGTAGTACGTACTACGTAGCGTTGGTTGGATTTCACTATTATTAACCTGTATTAGAGCCGAGGTAGATATATAAATTACTTATATTATATGATAAGTAATTAAGGAAATTTAAGATTTATTTTACTCTATTGTAAAGTTGGAATCGAATTGAATAATGTTATTACTACTTAAGGCTAATCATTACCTTAAAGTTTAAACTATAGTGTTTGACTTCACCAAAACACTAAAACCTACAATAAATATCAGAAGCTAAGCATGTTGTAAAGTTATTAAATTAAGGAAGCTATTAATTCCACTTTGGGTTGGTATGTTAGTCAAAAACTTCATTGAAGGGCAAGTTCTACATGCATTAATCTTTTTTTTTTTAAAGACTCCCAGGCGGGTGATGAGAATCGATCCCAAGATCACCTGGAAACGAGAGGAGAGCTCTAACCACTTGAGTTATCCCTCACTCTCTCTACATGCATTAATCTCACACAACGAATTCTACGTAGTAGACAAAAATGTGATCGCTCACGTAATTAATACATGCATGTACCAATAATATACTCCCTCCGTTACATATTACTCGCAACAAAGGAATATTTTATGTCTCACAAATAATATCCCTTTGTTATGAGTAATTTATAACGGAGGAAGTATGTAACATACATATTAAAATTTCACTCATGATATGACAAATAATTATGTTAATTTAATACAAAGTATTAGTAGAGATTAAGGAATAGTACTTTGTGACACTACTAGAGATTAAGGTTATTTAATTCCTTTCAATAACAAAAAAAAAAAAAAAAAAAAAAAAAAAGATTAAGGTTATTTAATTTATACATTCTATATTATTAGGAACTTATTCATGTTTACACCACAAGTCAATGTATACGAAGTATAAAGTAAGTAAAAACTCTTTTTCTTTCCAGCGTAGGACAAACACCCAACTGGCCAACATTTAAAAAAAAAAAAAAAAAAAAAAAAAAAAAAAAACCATTGTTAGAAGAGTACTCCAACAATTGTAATTATTGGAAAGGGAGATTCTCTTATTCGGTGGCTCTAAACTAGCATAGACTTTAAGCATTGTCCTAATAGATAGAAAAATTGACTAATTAAGTATTGATTATATTGTGATTTTTAAAATAATAATACTCTATACATTTTACCTAGTATATTATATATTACAAAGTTGATAAATAAAGCTAAGTAAAGCATTCCAATTTTTGGCGTTGGAGAGTGTGGGTGTTTGATGTTTAAAATTTTGAGAGCTAATCTTTCAAATATGAAAAAAAAAAAAAAAAAAAAAGATCGAAAAGGCCATGATTCAAAGCAAATTTTTGTACTTGCTCTAATTTCCGTAATTACCTTGTCATGGGATTATTAATTAGTTATCTAGATTTAAGAAGTGACATTTTCCTTACATAAGTAATATTACCTCCGGATCGTATTATATGCAACTTTGGGGTATTATTTGTGAAATATAAAAAATTTCAAAGTTGCATATAATATTATGATCTAGAGGTAGTAAATTACTCTACCTTTCTTTGATTATATTTCTTACACACTCGTATCGTAGATGTCAACTAATTTACCTTATCAAAACATTAGGGGTGGTTTGTGGCTCAACAGTGTGTAGAGCCTATGATCAAAAAAAAAAAAAAGTGTAGGTTCACTTGATTAATTAGAAGCATAATATAGTCCATTCGTTTTGCAATAAAACACCAAAGTATACGTAGTTTAAACAAGAATTTGTGGATGTAAAATTGAAAGCCCTTAAGCGTTCCTTAACTCGATTATAAAAGTCCTTATAAGAGACATGGACAAAAATTAAAGTAAGAAGTTTCTTGAATAAAGAAATGTCTTATTAGGTGTGACAAAGATTGTTTATCCCCCAATAATGAGATAACATAAGAAAGAATTATAAAAGTAAGGATTACATAGATTTTTTTTTCCCTTCAAACTTATGTTCGCATTTATTGCAAATATTGAAATATACATATCCATTCTCTCAAATGCATCTAATGATTTATCGATATCTTACTATTCCCTGAATTTGAAGATTATAGTAAACATTAAATTTGATTTACATCTCACTAGTACTATAACACTAAATAGAGAAGTAAAACATGGCAAAAGAATATGGCTTTAAAGATAATAGCCTTCCTTTCTTAATTAGCTTTAAACGCTATAGCCACATTCATTGCATAGTGTGTAAGTAATTACATTCTCTTAATTGCATCAAATAATTTACATAACATTACTTTTATATATATATATATATATATATTTCCTAAATTTTGAAATCCCTTTATAAAATAAAATAAATATATCACCTAATGTAAAGAAATCCAAACAAGGGAAGGGAATGATGGCACATCAAAGCAAAAGATAAGTAGGAGCAAAGACAAAGAAAAAGAATGACAACTAAAAAAACAAAGGAAACAAAGAGCCAAAATATAATAATACATAATATTAATTTGTAAACAAATAGCTTTAAAGTAAGAAATACATTACTTTTAGTGCAACAACTGAACAACCCTTAGACCGTTAAGGCACTCTTTTTTCTCACATTTTATTTCCCCCCACTTTATACCTAAATTCCAAACTCTATAAATAGCCTTCAAACTTCTCTTCTTTTTCTTATCTCAAATTTCAAAAATTAAAAACCAACAAAAACAAAAATGGGGTTTAAGTTTTTTCATAAATTTAGTTATTTTGTTGTTCTTTTTTGTCTATTGAATTTACAATCATTAACAAATGCTAAACCAAACCATAAACAACAAGAACACTTTAAGTTATCATCTACCACAACATTTCCAAAACTTCAAGCAGAGAGACTTATAAGGCAACTTAACTTATTCCCAAAACACCCTTATAACCACCACGACGATGTCGAAACCGGGTTATCGGTTTCGGAATCGGGTTTGGTAGAGAAGAGGTTTAAGATATCCGAATTGGGTGGTGACCCGGGTACTAGTGTTGAGGATTTGGGTCATCATGCAGGGTATTATCGTCTTCCTCATTCTAAAGATGCCAGGTGTGTTTTTGTGCTCTTTGTGTTTTCTATCTTTTTTTTTTCAAGAGTTGGTTTTGTTTTTATTAGTTTTACCAGATTTTTTTGACTTTGTAATCCTAGTTCAACTATTTGCTTGAATTTTATGGATACTATACTTTTGCACGATAGTGGTTTACATCGCATATTCACACATGATCATATATAATTTTCATTTTGTTTTTGTGGCGTTCAATTATCATACGATAAATAAAATTATATACAACGGTCATATTATATACAATTAAGCATAAAATATCCTTTATCCTCTTCCAGAATATATATATAAAATGACTTATGTTATTTTTTAATGAAATAAAATTGCGTGGGAGTACGTAATCAATAATTATGGTTTTGATATGTTTGGCGATATTGGTACAAATTAAATTAAATTACGCGTTGATCAATATTATTAATGTTGAGTTGATGTTACCGCGCAAAGCCTTGTAATTACATGTGATTGCTTGCCTTAATCTATGGAGTAAATTAATGGTACACTTTCTAAGAAGCAAGGAAAAGACAGTAAAGTAAAGAAAAAGATGTTTCTTTTTTAAGAACAAAAGTGAAGTTCATGCCTAAGCCTAACTAAATACATGTATTAACTTAATAATATATTAAATGGGTTTTAATTGTATACATATTTATTTATTTGAATAGAGGTTTTAATTGTATATAATAATATAGTAAAGAATACTCATGAGTCATGATGTTGTGATTATTATGTGTGATATATATTTCGTTAAAGGTTTCTGCATATGCAAGCATGAATAATTGACGGCCATACTAAGCTAGCATAAAAAAATGTTGCATAAAAAGAGATAAAGGATAATTAAAGGAAATCAATGTTTGGTTGTTTTTGTGTTGAAATGATTGAATTCTATATTTTGCTAGATAATGCAATTGTGTACCTTTTACACTTTGATTACTCGGTACATTTTTAATACTAGTTTTATCCTTGAAAGAACTTGTACTATGTTATTTTAAGTTGGTTTTTTTTTTTTGAAATTTTATTTGTTACAAAGTAATGTCATATTTCTCCTTAAATTACTCCTCGGGAAGTTACAAAGTGATTTTTATATTTTTCGTTAAGGAATTATATTATGAGACGAAAAAACAGTCATTTTATGTCACAATTCAAGGTTTAGTGTATTTGCTAAACAAAGCATAAACACATGTTACATAAAAAGAGAATAGGCAGAAATAAAGAATTTGCTAATAATACAAAGCATCAAACAATGTTGCATACACAAAAAGGAAATCAATGTTTTTTTTTTTTTTTTTTGGTTTTTTTTATTGTTTTGGAATAACTTGTAAAGATGACAATTTTTTTTATTACTGTAATTATCAATATACGTACAAGTCTCTTTAAAAATTAATTCTGGGACAAAAAGGCCATCTTTTTAATGAAAAACTAGGTTAGCACCCGTGCGATGCACAGGTTTACCAGTATTTTATCTTTGAATTTTTGAATGTTTTTTTTTTTTTTTTTGAGTTTAAAATGTTCAAAAGTTCAATTAATTGACCTCAATTATGCTAACTATTCCTATAAAGACTCCAACAACCTAATATCAACATAAATCACCAAAGTTTTAGGTACTTATTTTAAATTAATTACCTAAAAAATAGCTATAATCTGTTTAAAAGTTAATTTTAAGCCCATCAATGAAATGTACCTATTTTGTGCTAAAAAAAATGTAAATGTACCTTTTTTTTTATAAAAAAAAAAAAAAAAAAAAAAACATTTGAGCGGGGAATTTTTTCATAAAATAGTGCCACGTGTACAGCTTTGAATAAATATGACATCAGCGTTTGCTATTTAGTATTAGTTATAGATAGATAGATTTACAGTACAAAAGTTAATTTTAAGCCCATCAATGTAAATGTACCTATTTTGTGTTCAAAAAAAAAAAATGTAAATGTACCTTTTTTTTTTTTTTTGATTTTTTTTTTCTTTTTAAAAAAAAATTCTAAATCAAAGTGACATAGTTCTGATGACTTAATGAACAAAAATCTTTGCAGGATGTTCTACTTCTTCTTTGAATCACGAAATCGCAAGGATGATCCCGTCGTGATTTGGTTGACAGGAGGACCAGGGTGCAGCAGTGAGCTAGCTCTATTCTATGAGAATGGACCTTATCAAATTGCCAACAATATGTCTCTGATTTGGAATGATTATGGTTGGGATAAGGTATCATTCTAATCCTTGGTCATTCAACTTCTTTGAATTTTTAGTCTTGATCCTGTGATGATTCATGACATGAGATTTGTTGATACTTTTGTAGGCTTCTAATCTCATCTACGTCGACCAGCCAATAGGAACAGGCTTTAGTTACACTTCCAATTCTGGTGACATTCGACACGACGAGAATGGTGTTAGCAATGACTTGTACGACTTCCTGCAGGTGCGTGTGCTGCTGTTGGTTCAAATTGATTTCTCGTACTAGTAAGGGACTACAATCCAGTTCTAAATCGAAATATTTTTGGAAATTTATAGGCTTTCTTTAAGGCGCATCCTCAGTATGCCAAGAATGACTTCTATATCACTGGAGAATCTTATGCTGGGCACTACATCCCTGCCTTTGCTGCTAGAGTTCACAACGGAAACAAGGCTAAAGAAGGACTTCCCATAAATCTCAAGGTACTTCAATCTCCCCTTTACTTTTCTTTTTCGATCTTTGAATTACTTGCAAGGACTTAATTTCAATCTGTTTTCCTTGTAATCAGGGTTTTGCAATTGGTAACGGCCTCACCCATCCAGAAATTCAATACAAAGCATACCCGGACTTTGCTTTGGATAATGGGATCATCAAACAGGCAGAGCACAAAAGTATCAGCGAAATGGTTCCTGCTTGTGAACAAGCAATCAAGCAGTGTGGTATTTATCCTGTGTCTTCCTGTTTCCTGCTAAACGCAGCTATTAAGACTTCTGTAAGTCGTATATGAAGTGTTTTCTCGTCCTTGGGGATTTCAGGTACTGATGGTAAAGATTCTTGCTTGAATGCGTACTTTGCTTGCACCAACATCTTCAACAAAATCATGGACTATGCAGGAGATACAAACGTAAGTAACACTGTATTACATTTTAGAAATAGAAATGGAAATGGAAACATAACATTTCGAAAAGCCTGCCTTGAGCATGGACTAACTGCGAAAAATCTATTTCTTCTATATGCAGTACTATGACATCAGGAAGAAGTGTGAGACCAGCTTGTGTTATGACTTTTCGAATATGGAGACATTACTGAATCAGAAATCAGTAAGAAAAGCCCTTGGTGTTGGGGACATTGACTTCGTATCATGTAGTACCGAGGTTTATGATGCCATGCAAATGGACTGGATGAGGAATCTCGAAGTTGGTATCCCTGCCCTTTTGGAGGATGGAATCAAGTTGCTGGTTTATGCTGGGGAGTATGATCTGATATGCAACTGGCTTGGTAAGTTATTGCTCACCAGAAGCTTTTTAATCTTATCCAGATTTACCAGTCATTAACCTTCATCATATAAATGAGTTGTCTTTCTATCTGCTGCAGGGAACTCTAGGTGGGTGCATGCCGTGGAATGGTCTGGACAGAAAGATTTTACAGCAGCTCCTACTGTATCCTTCACTGTTGATAACAAAGAAGCAGGACAAATGAAAAGTCATGGTTCCCTTGCTTTCCTCAAGGTCTAGCTCTTGCACTTATGTTTCTATATAATGGCATAAATTTACCTTATGTTCTTACTGTTGGGAGTCTTAGGATGACTGAGAAAAAGAGTAAGGGCATTGCATCCTTTAAACATGGTGCCAATTATCTAAGTTTGCTCAATTTTGAGCCTGATTTTTAATCAACCATAACCTAATCTTCGTCTTTACTACAATGTAGTAGCTAACTTTGGAATTTTTATGAGACAGGTGCATGATGCTGGACACATGGTCCCAATGGACCAGCCTAAGGCTGCTCTAGAGATGCTCAAGAGGTGGACTAAAGGTACTCTGGCTTCAGCAGATATTACAGATAAGATTTCACCCGTTTGATACTCTGCCCGTTGCTGATGGGTCAGAAGCACTTGTAGTAAAATCAAACGTACAGTCTGATATGAACGAGCTACTACTTTGACCCATATAGACATCAGTGTGCAGTACCTAAGATCTTATGTAGGCATGAATTTTCAAGTTAATTCTTTTTAAGCATACAAATAAATTATACTACCCTGTGTTCCACAAAGCTTCAGATTTCTAATTTGTAAGATGGACAACAAAGGTTTCAAAGGAACAGTGAATAAGAAAGAGTGTTCAGCCTTAACACTATGACAGGAAAATAAAACAAAGTTCCAGGTCATACAACAATTGAAACTTGAAGCCATCACTGAAACTTCAAACATAACCCTTTTGACAAAACCCAAACTGGTTTAAGCAATCCATTCACGTACTAGTGTTCAAAATACACAAATTCATTTCACTTAGCAAATCACAGTAATACAAAAGTGGCTTCTAACCACAAACCACACATATGTATCTGTAGGCCGTTGCTACTGTCGATCATCAACTCTCTACAATAACAAGTTCATCACTAAATTGGTACAACTAAAGTTCAACCGCGAACAAGTTTGGATAAGAAAAGCTGTAGAAAACTTGCAGAGACCAGCATCGTCTGTTTTATTATGTAACAGGATAACCCTATCTGTTAAAACTCTCTGAGTCTCAAGGACAGTAATAAGCCTTAAATGCACTCAAATTCCCACAACTATCCATTGCTAACAAGAAGACTTTCAATACATCTGTAAGTCAGTAACTAAGCTCCAATATACCACGTAGAGAAATCAAGAACTAGTGCACTCCATAGTGTTCTTTCAAAGACTGAATTACTGGCTGAAAGCCAGAGCTCAAAGGAACAACTGATGCAACGCGCAGATGTTGAGCATTACCATTCTTTGGTTTCGCCAATGTCATCCGACACATTTCACCTTCAAGAATCCTTCCAGCATTTGCAGCTGTAAGAACCGAACCACAGATCACTACTAACATGACTAAATACAAAAGTTTGCAATTACTATGCAACATCAACTACAATAACATTATCATAAGAAGGGCATGACTAAAAACAACTGAATGAACTCAAAATTTAGCTAACAAGGGAAAAATGTACCTGCAAAAGGATGAAGCTTGGCGAAATCGAAAAATTCACCAGCAGAACAACCAAGCAAAACTTTAGCAGCCCTATCAAAGCATATCACCCTAAATACCTTTGTATCTGATGCTATTGACATCTGCCAAAAAATTCACCAAAAACCCATAATCATCAGTTGAAGAATTAGACATTTTTCAACAAAATTCCAAATTTCAAGCCTAAATTTGAAAAAAACCCATAAACCCCCCCCCCCCACCAAGAAATATTAAAATACACACACATTCGCAAAGGTAGTGATGTAGACGGAATTTGATCCGGGTTTAGGCGCTACAATTCCTACATTGTGAACCTAACCCGGAAACGAAACGTATGTAATCTGACACATAATTATCTCTGAAATTTCAAAATCAGATTGGTAAATTTGCAGGAAGATAAACTTACAAGAAGGCGAAAGAGGCGTTTGGAAGGAAAAGAAGAGGAATTGAAGGCGTTACGATTGCAGAAATTGCAGGGTGAAATGGGGTTGTGAAGGGGCTTTTCGCAGACTGAACAAACCAAGTAAGAGAAGTCGTTGGTGGTGTCTACTGCTACAATGGTGCATATCAGAGTCTCTGGCTTATCGTCTGCCATGTTAGCTTCTTGTTTCTAAGCTTACGACACAAGAGTCGTAGGAGTAATATTTTGATTGTACTATTTGAAAGGGATTTCTACGATTATCTCCTTTCATACCATTTTGCTCCATTTTTAAATACTTGTTCTATTTTTCTATTTGCGAAATTTTAGAAGAAATTTGAAATAATAATAATAAAATAGGAAAGTAGTGGGATAAATGGAAGAATAAAAAATAGTAAAAAAAAGGAAAATTTGCAAATTAAAATCATTTAAAGTTAGTATTTTGCAAATTGCAGCCCAAAAATTCTTATAAATTGTAAACTGTAGTACGATTCAACTTTTTCATCGATTTACATGTCGAAAAATATTCGAATTGAGCTCGGAATTAGAAAAAAAAATAACGTAAGTGCCTTGCTTATACAGCAAAAAATAGTTGCCCACAAATCAATACATTTTTGTTACGCAAAACAAGACACTTACGTTATTTTTTTTGTTAATTTCAAGCTCGATGCGCTTTCTTAAGACCTAAAATGACCCCTAAAACCTTAACCGAATAATTTACAATGCGTAAACCGATGAAAAAGTTAAATCAGGATGCAATTCACAAATTCTAAGAACTTTTGGGCTGCACTTTGCAATTTTTTTTAAATGACCGCAATTTGCAAAATACTAACTTTAAATGGCTACAATTTGCATCCAAAAACAAAAGTTATTGATAGAATTAGGACAGATAATATGAAATTAATAAAATATTATTTATGTTGGGTAATTGAGTGAAATGATTAAATATTGTAAAAGTTTTCCTAATAAGGAGATAAATATTTAAAAACGACCGGAAATAAAAAGTGGAGCAAGTATTTAAAAATGGATGAAGTACAACTTATTTGGTACTTGTAAATTGCAACCTCTTCTTCATAAAATAAGTAAATAAAACAATTGAAAAAACTGATTGAAAAATTATAAACTAGTATTGACTTGGGGTTATTTTTTATACCAATAGATAATTACAAACTAGTATTGACTTGGCTTTATTTTTTATATAATAGTTGATTAATGACGTCATATTCCGGTAAAAGTGGCCAAAAATCAAATTTTGGTATTATGTAATTTAAAATGTTAGGTGACTTTTATGGTTGTAATTGCAAACATAAACTTTGATGGTAAATGTTTATAATTGAATTTTTACTGCTTGTAATTGAATTTTTATTCCTCTAGATAAATGTTTATCAAGGAGTAAATTTGGGATTTGTTAAACATCGCCCACAAATTACTACATAAAGCCCACAAAATTCACTTGGTTTGCCAAAATTGCCCTTGACCTTAAAAAAAACACTCACACTCTCATCACTCACACTCTCATCACTCACACTCTCATTGCTCATCTTCTTTCAACCTCTCTAAAAAAAAAAATTCAAATAACGGCAATGTCGAGGCGGCAAGGCAAGGAATTGGCGGCGGCGGCGGAGGGAAGGATGTCCCAAGGAGGAAAGGTACATTTTGTTTAAAAAAAAAAAAAAGGGAAAAACCGCCGTGAACGCGGTGGGGCGCCCTGGCTGGACGCCCAGCCAGCGGTGGTGGCGCCAGATGCAGACGCCGCCACCAGTTGGCTGGCGCCTGGGCTGGACGCCACGGCCACGGTTGTGGCGTTTATTCTAGGCGCCGCAGCCGTGGCTGTGGCGTCCAGCCCAGGCGCCAGCCAACTGGTGGCGGCGTCTGCAGCTGGCGCCACCACCGCTGGCTGGGCGTCCAGCCAGGGCGCCCCCCCCCCCATTTTTTTTTTATTTTTTTAAAAAATTGTTTTTAATTTATTTTTATTTTTTTTTGTAATATAATTTTGAATTGTTTTTATATTTTGTTGTTTATTTTTATAAATTTTTTTCAATTTCGTTGTATTTTTTCTACGTTTATATTTTGTTTACAATTATTTGTATGTTTTTAGTTTATTTGATTTGCGATGATGATTATTTATCGTATAAATTTTTGTATGTTTATATATTTTAAAATTTTGTGTAGAATTCACTGGGTCGTCATGGTGCGGGGAAGAATATAGAGCTTCTTAGTAGAAGTTATTCAGTGGAGAGGTCGGGGCATAGACATGTCAGATCCCGTGGTATTTCGGCCTCAGTTCGTAGAGAACGGATCCACCGTCGGGATGAGGATGACGATGATGATGCTGAGGAGGGTGACCAGGAGGAGGAGCAGAAGGAGGGCGCAGATGAGGATGAGGATGTGGACGATGGCAGTGGACCGTATGATGATTACGGTCCATTCAGTCAGAGGGTTGATGACATGTACGAGACGCATATGGTGGAGGTGCGTAAGGGTAGGGGTGATAGGTTTGTTAGTAGATCTGGCACATCATCTGCGTCCACTGTATCTGGGGCAAGCAGGAAACGGTCGAGGGCCGGTAATGATTCTTGGGTTGTTAGGAGTGAGGTGCCCGGTGGGCCTGTTGACGGGAGTGTGATTCCTAGCTTTCTAGGACACATAGCTGCCCGTATTTGGGAGGACCAGGAGAGGCCTTCAGTTACGGGGTTGTTGAAATGTCATACCCGGGAAAAGACTTGTAGCTTTTTGCGTACATGGGCTGAGGCCTGGCCGGCGGAGAGCGAGATGTTCGAGCGACTGGAGGGCACTGGGGTGAAGCACGTTCCTGCCACCATGCACGATAAGATTGACAGTACGCTGATCAAGGCTTTCATTGAGCGATGGCAGCCGGATACAAACTCTTTCCACCTTCCGTTCGGTGAGATGACGATCATGTTACATGACGTCGAGGCCATTCTGGGGATTCGTGTTGAGGGTAAACGACTTTGTGCTGTGGCTGATGCGGATCAGGCAGATTCGTTGGCGGAGTTGTTGGCGGTGGACAGGGCTGCACTGTACACCGAGGCGCTAGGTGTTTGGGAACACGGAGGTGTGAAGATCGCATCCGTGTTGCAGCGGTGTTTGTACCCGAGTGCACGTAGGACGCCCGACGCACAGCTGAGTGCTTATGTTTTTCTACTCCTCGGATGTACCTTGTTTCCGGATAAGAGCGGCGGAAACAAGCTCAGGCCACGCGACATCGTAGAGGCGTGTGACCCCGACAGTGTAGGCCAGTTTTCCTGGGGATCGGCTACGTTGGCGTATTTGTATCGCCAACTAGGATTTGTGAGTCGGGCTGACGCGGCAGGTATCACTGGGTGTCTGACTCTATTGCAGACCTGGATATACGAGTACTTTCCTAGTGAACTGGATGCCTTTCGGCCCGAACCCTAGTGTTAGGGTACCCAGGACCCTGTACATAGGGATGTCAATGGGGCGGGGCGGGGCGGATGTTGACCTTCCCATCCCCATCCCCACCTAACATTTTCATCCCCATCCCCATCCCCATCCCCGCGGCGGGTCTAATATTCATCCCCATCCCCGCCCCGGCGGGTACAACTCCAAAACCATCCCCGCCCCACCCCCCCACTTGGATTTCCATCCCCGCCTAATCCCCACCAAATACCCGCCTAATCCCCACTCAAGACCCACCAAATTTCCGTGTCTCAAATACACAATCCTACATAATTAATACGGATTATAATATTAAAAAAAAATTCTTAATATTACATACATTTTTGTTTATAATATAAGTGTAGTACAAATATTATAATTAATATTTACTTCACGTAATTATTTTATAAAATAATATAAAAGTATATAGATGTGGGTATGAGGTGGAGATGGGGCGGGTACGAAGTGGGGCGGGTGGGGCGGGGCGGGGATGGGGCGGGTACAACTTAAAATCCACCCCCGCCCCATCACCCATGGCGGGTATCGTTTTCATCCCCATCCCCGCCCCACCACCCGCCAAACCGAGACCCATCCCCGCCCCACTGGGGCGGGGATGGGGCGGGTCTCCTACTTGACCCGCCCCACTGACATCCCTACCTGTACACGGGACTCATTCAGTATCGTGACATCGTCGAGGCGTACATGCCCCAGCGTTGTCTTCGCCAGCTTGGATTTGTCCAAGTTGTCCCTCCTCCCCCGGCGTGCCCGATGAAGGCGGTCCGACCTGCATCGTCGAGGGACTACGTCGTGGAATGGCCGGATATCATGACCGGGACGTGGGACCAGTTTCCGATGGTGGCCCGCTTATGGACTGCGGAGTTGCAGCGGCCGCCCTCTGGGGTTACTCCCATGTGTGACCATTACTACATGGAATGGTTCAACCGGTATTCGCACCCGAGGTTGATCGCTGATCTCGACCACAGCGATGATGATTATGTGCCACCGCCTACAGCCACGGAAGCGGTATGTCTTTTATTATATTTATCGTTGTCTTTTAATTAAGTTTTATTTGTTGTTATTGTATTTCATCTTCTGTTTTTTGTTGTATGCAGTGGATGGGAAAGATAATGCAAGACGTACAGAAACTCTCTCTTGAGAAGGACAGCATGAGTGCAACAGGGAGAGCTGTTGTTGATAGTCTGGAACAGACCCTTGCGCAGTGGGAGTCGTCGTCGAGGAGGGATTACTGATGGTTATTGTATTTTATTTATAGAGAGTTATGTTGGACATTATGTTGTAAAATTGTAACATTTTAGATTGTTCTTTTAGCTTCCAACTTAAACATATTATCAGTGCTGTTTTTAAATTTTGATATAACCGTTCGTGGATCCGCGCAACTTACCCATGCAACATATAGAATGCAGTAAGCAATACAATATAAAATATTAATGTTCTCATTAAAAGAGCAACGTACAAATAAGATTACAAATAAAGAATGTAAACATGAAAAACTAAAATGCAGCTAGGGTGTTCCATTCGTGGATCCGGTCATTATATAGCGCATCCCAACCCTCTACGCTCGCTGTGCGAATGTTGTACCACCAAGGTATAATCGGTGGCACCGGAAAATCGATTGACATGTCTAGTCGGATGAAATGTCTGTATGACGACCCAAGAAACGCAATAGCTAGCTCTCTGACCGGTGTGGTGACAGTCTCACGCGACCGCCAAGGGAGAACCGTGGTACAAGGATAATAAGCTTGACTATGCACTCCCAGGCCGAAATGCATGACTGCGCATTTGTAAATGTTTGCAACGGCAAACAGATCTAGGGGCGCGTCAAAATAATGATTTTCGCCGCAAGGTCCACCTCCCCACCGGATACGCCGCAGAGCGCCATCCAAGTCATCCTGGTACACATGACGATAAACATTTCGGTTAGAGGCAATTTCGCTGTACATCAACTCACGCACCAAACCGTAGTTGTCTTCGCCCATTTGAAAAACATCAGCCACGACCCGGAATCCGCAGTTACCATCTCCGATTACATCATTCCACCCTTCCAAGTACGACATGATGATCGCAGGTATCCTTTCCTTGTACGGAAACTGATCAACATCGTTTCTTCCTATTCACCATATAATTAATTATAGACAGTTTAGAAGGCAAGAGTAACACTTTAAAACTATGTGCAATAAAAACAACCAAAACGTACCAGTTCTCAGGGGCATATTCACAGACGATGAAGATTGACTACGACTAGATGACGATGTCCGACCACGAGAACGACCACGACCAAGACCACGGATATACTCAAACGCACTCCTGTTCCGCCGTTGTCGACCTCGAGGACGGTCAACTCCTTCTGGTTCCTCATAATCTAAGTTAAACGGGTGGAACATGTCATGAAGTACATGAGTAGCGTCACGAATAATAGAAGGATGGCTGGAGGACACTCGGTCGTACATCGAACGGAACTGCTCCAACTCCTCCTGTTCACGGTCGGCCGTTTGATTGTCTGCATGCTCACCAATAACAAGCGTCCTCCAGAATGAATGGACCTGATCAACATGTAACGACGCCCTTTCTTCTGTAATAACGCGGTGAATGGTGCATGCGCAAGGTAATCCATGAGTTACTGAAATAGTACACCCACACCGAGTATACACTTCGTCAGCCAAGTCCCTCACCCTGTTCAGCTCAGTGAGAATCAACCCAAGCAGTAGTGCGACACGCGACCTTGGAGAATCTTAAATATAAAATGGCTATACATCGTACCATGTCATCGTCTGGAGTCCTCTAGAGAGTTCCTGATGTCGTTCTTCTGAGTTTCAATTGACTTGTTCAGTCTAGCGAACAGTGTATCCAAAGCAGCGGTCGATGAATCAATCCATTCCTTGGTAGCTCTATGAGCGCTCTCAACTCTACATGTTGTAGTGTTCCCAAAATGAAGTACCTGGTTTGTCCAATATTTGACAAACTTTTCCCTGTGAGGGACCCATTGATGCATCACATAGTCCACCAGTGCCGGACACCACTGGTACGAATCCCTGAAGTTAGCCAATGCTCGCTCATACGCTTCCTCTGTGGTAGCCTGTAGGATCTTCCGCCACTTACCATTCACCAATCTCTCTGCCATTTCCAAATTCTTCTTGAAAAGGTTGTAGGCTTTCACTTTCACGCAGTTGTTGATGTGCCATGTGCACAATAAGTGGTTCGATTCGGGAAACAGCTCTGCTATGGGGGCAAAGAGACCTCCCTCACAGTCGCTGACGATGGCTGCTGGATGAACATTAGGCCCGATGTAGTTTCTCAGCTTCTCCAACACCAAATAATAACTTGGAGCCGTCTCATCCCTGATGATTGCATGACCAATCAGAAAGTTCTGGTTCGTTGGAGCCATCCCAACCATCTCAACCAGAGGGAACTTGTACTTATTTGTCTTGTACGTTGAGTCGATCAAAATCACAAATGGCCAAGACTTGATCATATCAGCACAATCAGGATGCACAAGGAAAAGATGAGTCACCTCCGTTGTATCTTCATCAAAATCAAACCAGAACAGGTAACCACGTGATTGTGCCTGGTGTAGCAGCTGCTGTATAGGGTTCCTTCCCTCTGACCGTTCAAACCTGAGTTGCTGTCTGACGTTGTAGATGTGTCTTCGGTTTGGATGGTCTTCTGGAAATTTCTCTAACACAGATGCTAATATTTTAGCAGGCTTCACTTGAGCATCACTCATTTCTTTCACAACTAGTTTCGCAGCAGGACTTAAGCCGCTCAGTTGTCGATGACCCTCTTCATATACTATCATCTCATGGTTGTGATACCCCCATTTAGAGTAACCTCTCACTTCCCAACCGTCACGACTCCGTAGTTGTCGAACCTTTACTCTGAACTCACACCCACAACCTTTCCGCTTTGTGTCAAACCGAGTGGTTGTACGAAAATCTCTTTCTTCTCTTTTGCGATAACGGTCACATCTCAAAATGCGATCCATTCTACCATCCCGTTGAGATTTATGAGTTGCTACTACCAAGCAAAATCCAGCTGCAATTGCAACCTGTTTTGCCCAATCAATCGCCTGTTGAGCTTCTTCGAATGGACCATCATGTCCAAATATCCCACTGTAATCATTTCCGTCTCCACCATATTCCTGCATCAATTATATATTACAATAAATACATTTAACGGATAATACATTTAATTTCTATATTTCCACAGAATTAACACAAAAAAACATAATTATATATAATCAAACTTAATTTTTATAAAAACCCAATTCGAATTTTCGAACTAAATTTAAAAATATACCATTTCGAATTTTCAAATTTAATTTTAAAAAAACCTATTTCGAATTTTCAAATTTAATTTACAAAAAACCCATTTCGAATTTTTTTAAAAAATCATTTTCGATTTTTTTTTTACAAAAAAATTAAATAAAAAACAACAACAAAATCAAAAAAGAAAAAAAAATAATTATTAAAGGTGGCGTCTGCCAGGGCTGCCACAGCCACTGGACTGGCGCCTGGCAGGGCCGCCTCACCCAGTGGAGTGGCGTCTGCCCAGGACGCCAGTCTGGTGGTCAAGGCGTCTGGACGCCATTCTGGTGGTTCTGGCGTCCGGCTTGGACGTCCAGGCTACGGTTTGGGCGTCCACCCTAGGCGCCGGAGCCACTCCGACGGTAAACCGTGAATTTTAACGGTGACTTACCTCGTTTTCCGTCGACGACGACGTACCTCCGGCGTCCCCCGCATCTCCGGCCTGCCATCCGGTCTCCCCCGGCGAGCCAGTACGGCTCCACATTTTTTACACCGAGATTATTTCAATTTTAGAAAAAGGGCATAATGGTCAAATCATATCATATTTGTGGGCTTTATATGGTAAATTGCGGGCGATGTTTAGCGTTTCACGTAAATTTTTGTATAAATTGAGGGATATATTTGTAATTTACACTCTAGTTCATCTTCTTCCTCCTCTTCTTTCATCCGTTCATCTTCGATAGAAAATGTCAAAAGAATAAATACACATATAGACCAATGGGAATATACACATGACTTCTCTACGACTCTACCCAAAAACCTGCAACAGTAGTCAGTGAAATTTTACAACTGAAGATATCTCATGCTCCAAGACGAGGCGGCATGATAGGCCAGAACTCAGCTGCTGCAGCTGAGGGACAAAGAAATAGCATGTGCAGATATGCATCCGCCTCTGATGCTGGATGTTTGAACTTTTACACTTACGAGTTCAACAAATGCCCTCTTGCAGTCGCCCTTTTCTCAACACCACCAAATTTAAGAGGGATATTCCAATGCTACACCTTCGACAAGAAAGTTTATCAGGTGGATATACATTTGCTAGAAAGATTTATACGAAGTATGGGACAAACCAGATTATAATAGGGCAGGAAATGTAATCACAGAAACATTGTACTGACACTTTGGCAGCCAATTTTCACCATTCAAGAAGGATAAATTTCAAAAGAAAAAGTAAACCAGGCTTCAGAGCTCACATTGTGACATCTCATACAATGGTACTTTTTCTGATACTTGTTAGCTTGAGAATTATTTTACTAAACGAGTATAGAGGTGATATCATAGACTGCATTGCATATGAATTATTCTGTACAAAATCTTCAATACCTGATGCTGTATGACGAAGCCAGCTATAACCTTCTAGCCACAGTAAAGGTTAATCAATTACCAACAATATTCTACCAAGACTTTGCAGCTACAAAAAACTCATTTGAGGCAATACGCACCCAATTAATGCTGGTTAACCATGAAATAAATCGTGCAGTCTTCTTCAAGATTTCAATTGACAGCAGCTAGTTCTGGGATTGGCTGAACGTCGACAACATTATAGCAACGAGGACAAAGAGTAGGATGCTCAGTGAAGGAACCAACTTGGGTTGAGTAATTCCAACATCTTTCACATTTTGAGCCATCTGCTCTTGATACACCAATCCAGACCTTATTATCACTTCCTTGAATAACATACTCCCCGGTGTATGGTATTTTCTCACTAGGATTATTCTCCAAAGACGAAATAACCTCAGCCTGTATAACCAATTATTAAACGAGTGATGAACTTGAGATTTAAGTTTTCTAAGGAAAGAATTAGTAAAGTAAGGCGGCAAAAGAGGTGAAATTACCTGGGAGGTAATAAAAAGACGATTAAGTGAATCAGCGTCGTTCTCTGCTTCACACATCTGATTCAATCTTTTGGCAAGGCTTGCATCCGGGGTGTGAATATAAACCTTTGCTTCTAAGCTGGACCCAATTAACTTTTCAGTTCGAGCAAATTCCAGTACCTTATTTACCTCAGTTCGCAACTGCAAAAATTGATGTTTATATTATGATTAGATTCTTAAGGTAGAATACACTCAAGATGGAGTGGGAAAAATACACATACACGTGGGGAGAAAAAGTCACATAGAAAACAGAAATATAACAATCCCACAAGCTCCCAGGGAGAGAGAGAGAGAGAGAGAGTACCACAAGCATAGATCAAATCATCAAATATATGCTCACTCAAACATTTGTTCCAGCGTAATACGGACTACTTTGTGAGCTTTAATGAAAATTATGGCATTACACTCTTCACATGAACTGAAACTAATTTACTGATTAATCTAATTTATAGATATTAATCGATCAATTAAAGGAATGATAAAGTTGGACTTGTTCCCAGATTTTCATATAGAAGGTGATAGCCGATTTGGTTGTGTAGAAAATAAGAAAAATAAGTTCCTTTTCTCGTTGACTTATAAGAAAAACAGAGTACTCCTTATTTAACTTTTAAGAAATACTCTGTTTATAAGGTGCTCAGCAACTTGGTTATTTAGAAAATTAAGAAAGATAAGGACCTGTTCATTTTAACTTCTTAGAAATACTAAATACACATACTACACCGGTAATGAAATTTAAATGAAATTTTTTTTACAATCAAGTACAGTAACAAAACATTAAGCAATATTGAAATCTTTAGATCCATGAATCATGATAGCATCAAGTGTTAATTTTAACTTGATAACAACAGCATAGCCTTATTCCCCATGAGTGGAGTCGGCTTTTGTCTATAGTAGTGGTCCACTATACAAGAATGGTTTTCATATGAAATGAGCATCAGAATGGCAAACCTTACGCCTTCATAAAAATGAAAATAAAAACAGACAATTGATTGAAAAATTGACAAGAAAATGCAAGTTTGGCCTTTGAGCGGTCCGCCAAAAACAAGTCAATCTTTTAATTATTTTTGAATAATACAACCTTTGGTGGGTATCCGCTTTAAACAAGAGATTTTACCTACAACTTTGATGACTGGTTAATGTTTATTTATTTTTTGATAAACTTGTTTAATAGTGTAATTAACTCTTAATAAAATCCTAATTAAAACTTTAATTGTAATTTATTTTTAACAATTAAAATAATTATTTTTTTACAAAAATAACCCCCTCCCCCCACCAACAACCTCCTTCCCTGCCAGCAACACCTTAAACCCTGGTGATCGACCGGAACCCAGCCTCACCCACTGGCTACCCCATTTAGACAACCTTGCCAATCAAGCTGCAATCACATCTCCACCTTCACACTAACCCGACACCATACCAATTTCAACCCGCGTCCCTCACTCTCTCTCTTCCCCTCTCAAACACCCAACCCTGCTCTCAAACCCCCAACCAGCCCCAAATCTATGTCGTTCCCAACTTCGACGCTTGCTGAACCCAGCCATCCCTACCCTCTCACCATTCAAACCCCCACCCAAAACCTCCATCCTTTTTCGAATAAGACTTAGCAAAGAGGGGTTGTATGGGAAAAAAGGGGGTTTAGTAGAAAGGAGTTGTGGAAAGGAAGAGAGCGGGGTTGCTCGTGGGGGGTGGTTGCTCGTGGGGGGAGGGAGGGAGCGCCGGCGGCGGGACATCGGAAAAGAGGAACGACTGCTTGCAAGGAGGGGATGGGGGTGGCTAGTAGGTAGTTTTTTTTTAATTATTTTATATCTTTGAAAATTAAAAACTTTTTAAAAATTAAAAATAATAATAATTAAATCGACAAACTAATAAAACTTTGACACGTGTCCCGTATAACCGGTTAACTAGGTAGCTAACCGGTTATGACTTGTTTTGAGCGAATACCCTCAAAGGTTATATTATTAGAAATAATCAAAAGTTTGACTTGTTTTTGGCGGACTACTAAAAGGTTGTATTATTTTTGACAATTTTTCCCAAAAAAAAAAAGTAAATACTAAGCACCCTACTCAGTTAAGTTTCATTTTATAGCATCATGTAGCAATTAGCTTTACATAAATAAGTGAAAGAGGGAACTTTGGCATGTTCAAAGCAACCAGTATACACCTAAACTACATAATATATTTTGAAAGTCCCACTTACACTGGTCTCTCAGGTTGTGCTAAGAAAATTACCTCAAGAACTTTGGACCAAAACTGTACTTCATCATCAGGAAAAGCAAGCCACTGCTCGTTTAGCACTGGCCATCTTGACTCAAAAACATATTTTGCTGTGGAGCCATCATCATTAGCAAACTGGAATGGCAGGTTCTGCCAGACATCCTCAGCCAAATGTGGCAATATTGGAGCAATAACCCTCACAATTGAAAGAAGATGTGCTGCCAGAACAGTTTGGCAACTTCTTCTTGTAAAGCTCGTCAATCCCCTGAAAAATGTCCCAGTTTAGTGAAGCCAGAACAGGTAGAGAGGATTTCTACTCCATACCAAAACTGTGAATTTAAATAAGACAACACACTTTGCAGAAGCTCAACCACATGCAGCAGTAAATTCCAGGCCAAATATGTTATAAAACTTAGATACTTCTGAGTTTTTAATGTTGAAGCTACAATTAAACAAATCTACGTCAAATTAATCTAAGGATGAAAGTTATTTTATTTAATAAAAAAGGCAGGTGTGGTTTTAAGATTGTGCCACAATCCAACCATTTGCCTTTTCACGTTTACCAATGCATAATGTTGGTAACTAATTTCAGTGTGTGTCTTTCTTGTTCTATATACTTTCTCCATTTCTTAATACATGCAACATTTGATTTTTTACAATATTCTAATATTAACTTTGACCATCAATATCTTGTATTAAAAAAAATTATAGAATTTGATGTTATGAAATTATACATTGAGATCAACCCAACAATAATGAGACTGATGATTATTAGTTTAATACTTGTATCAGTTGTATGTTAACAATAAATAAGGTCAAAGTTAATGATATTACTTTATAAAGTCAAATGTTGCATGTATTAAGAAACAGATGAAGTATATACTAACTTCTTTTTTTTTTTTATCCAATCAGAAGTTTCTTAACCCAAGAATGAGAGGGATTGATGTGCAATTTTTTTAAATGAAATATGCATATTTTCTCAACTGAATGTGCATATATGATTTTCAATTCAATAATAGATTTTGATCTTGGAAATCTAAAAATATGCACATCATGAGTAAAAAAAGGATGCACATTTATTTCAAAATATATATGCACAAGCATGAAAAATATGTACATAAAATATTTCTCATCCTTCTCATTTTGAAGGTCTTCTAGTTTGGCAATATTTATTATTCAAAATGAGGGCATAATATATTCCCCTAGAGTGATGACTAAGCTCATCACAAACTATCCTCTTTTTTTTCCAAAAGATAAAATTGATGTTTAAAATATACAAACATATGTATTTTCATCCAAGCTTTGCTCATCACCCATGGAAAATATAAAATTCAATAGCATCTCGCTCCATCACCTACCACTCAACTTACAGGTACGTAAATCTACCTTAACCACAAACTTTTGATTCGAAGTTTTAATGAAAAATGGGGTTTTAGATATAACCCTATTGGAATAAATAAGCTTGTCTCTTGCTTGCCCCATGGCCTTCTTTGTTAATAGGCAGTTGATATTTTGCTAATAGGATTTTTAGAAGGGAAAAAAAATATTCCCATTACCGCCTATAACAAATGGTGGGTGTATGTGCGGGCACAAATCAATACAATCCTTCCTCATCACTCACTTCATAGCTAAAAATATTAAAAGTGGATATTTTGAGTTTTGACAACACACATACTCTACTATATTTATGTTTTATTGATTGTTCTACTTTAACTTTCATGATGTTTGTTGATGCATAACTTTCACCATTAACATCTTCAATTATTTATAAGCTAAAATTATAAAATATTGATAAGTTGACAATATACAATGAGATTATGCATAATAACATGTGTCTTTAATATAAGTAGGTATACATGGTCAAGCAAAACATATGAGTCATGCAAAAGTCAAAGTGGAACAATTAACTAAGAAAATGGGAGGAACTAAATTTTTTTTTTTTTTGGAAACAAGATTTATGCATAAAGTTGAAGTATAATTCTGGATCAAGCCCCTGCCCCTCCATCCACAACCAAAAATAAAACAAAAAATATATTCTTCAATGTCTTATGCCAGGAAAATTATACAGTAAACGAAACCACAGCAATGAAATGAAAAAGAAAAAAATCATAAGAGAAAAGGAGGGGATGTTTAAATTTGTTGAGAAATGCTTACCCAATATACAGACGATCTTTAGCAACGTCAAGATAGAAATTTGACAGATCAACAATCACAAACCTTTGGATACTCTGAAATATGTAAAACAAATTTCATCAACGATCCCAAACCAGCAAGACCACAGTAAAACAACACAACAAAACAGCGCAGTACAATTATTTAGGAGCAGAATGTAAGAATTAGAAAACCAGGAGACCAAAAGCCTCACTGTTGAATGTTGATCCAATCAAGATGGATCTAAAAAATAGAAAGTGGTGATTCAAAAGTCATATTCAAAGCCTCGTTGCATCATATTAAAAAAAGCAGCTAATTTGTAATGCAAATGTTGGTTCTCTTTTTTGGTTCCTGTTTGAACATGAGCATGGCCCAAAGCTTGTATGCACACAAAGTAACAGCCCACAGCTTCTATCTAAGAGTTTAAAACAGTAGCAAGGCAACACAGTCGCCTGTAAGCATTTCAACGTGCTTGAGTCTGAAAACACTGCTAGCTCATTGTTAATGCCCCAATGTATATTTTATCTCTTATCCATGCAGAAAAGGATTCCAGGCAATAATGATATGTCTTGTTACCTATGATTGTCAAAAATTGTCTAGCTTTTTAATTACTTTGGCCATCTTCCCATTTACCAGCATAACTCTATTGCTTTCTCAACAGTGCTCATGACTACAATCTCAAGTTTCATAACTTTCATCACTCAATCACCTTCAATTACATCCATCAGGGAAATGCTCCTTATATCACTCTTTGGATGTTTTTCACCCTAAGCTAAGTTAAAATTATCAGAAAGCTCCAGAAGCAACCACATAAATTGTCTTCCTAATGGAATCAAGTCCAGGTTCAAGAAAATCAATTAGCAGCTAACTTCCTCTATCACAAAATTCACACTCGGAACACTACAGCATGGCAGCCTGCAAAAATTCTGATGGGCCAACATCAGGAGAGGGTGACCGGTGACAGCTAATTCTTGATATTCCATTCTACATTGCATATTAGCGCCTCCTAAGTCTTAACCACTAACATAAAGTATTAAAGCTATAATGATCAATCTGAATAACCATCAAGTTTTCCTTTACATTTCAATTGTTTGGACGGTTTTTTGACTTTTACCACCTTTTTCTTTTTTGAAACCAAAAAAAAAAAAAAAAAATTATCACCCTTTAAAAATAAAAATAGAAATAAAAAAATAAACTAAATAAACTGATTTTGCCACCACTTAACAAATTCATGGACAAAAGCTATCAAGTGGTGGTAAAATCCAAAAAAAATGATTTTGCCACCACTTAATTGATAAATGGACAAAATCTGTTTAAGTGGTGGTAAAATCATAATCATTAATTCCTCCGCTTTTTCTTTAGTTGCAACGTATGAAATTATACACTATTCACAAGCCACTCATTTGATCATCTTTTGTGATTAATACGTTGGAAAAAATACAATCATGTGTGATCTTGTTAGATTCATCCAAAAATATACTTTCATAATATGTAACTTTTTAAAAAATTTGGTACAACACAACTTAAGACATTTAAATTATGAAATGTGCATTGGCAATCGTGAAGTCTTCAAAGTTGCGATTAAAAAAAAAATTAGAGGAAGTACATTTTTTTGTGGTAAATTAAAAAATAAAATTATTTGATGCAGTTAAAATGAAAATCGGAGTTTTTAAAGGTGGTAAAAGACAAAAAAACCCCTTGTGTTCACCATCTTAAATATTTTCAATAGCTTATAGTTTACTAGGTTAGTGAGTCCCCTTATTGCTTCTAAACAAGGGGGCGAAGCTGATATCTCTAGTTTCATGGTTCAATCACCTTTGCTTGAAGAACGCTCATCAATTGTGATTAGGCTGTGAGATCTACATTGAAGGTTTTACCCTAAGAAACTAAAGATAAGTCAAAATCACCATATTTCCAAAAGCAATGACATGAACTGTCCTCCCAATGAATAGGAGTACATTGCAGCTTCCCGTGAAGGCAGCAGTTGAAGTTGATCACTTTACAAGGAGATAGATATGTCTGGTTGATCTCCTTACTTATAATTCACCATGCCCCCGTAATGCTGTTAATCAAGGAGGTGATTTATATCTCTAGTTTCATAATTGAATCAACTTACTTGAAATTGCTTTCCCATTGTGATTAGGTTGTGCGATCTACATACAAAGTTTTACCCAAAGAATCTAAAGTGAGCCAAAATCACCATATCTCCAAAAGCAACCACAAAAATTATCCTCCTAAGTCCTAATGGATAGGAATTCAATCCTGCTTCCATAAAGGCAGCAGCTGAGGTTGACCTCTTTACATGGAGATAGATCCTATTTACATAGAGACGAGGTCTACATACTCCAAAAAAAAAAAAAAAAAAAAAAAAAGAAGAAAGTGTTGTCGTTCTTTTGGACAACTATCTCAACCAATTTGTAATAAAAGTTTCAAGAACACACACTTTGAATAAGAAACAAACTATTCATTATACAGGCAACAGTAAAAGTTGAAGTTCATCAAGGGCACTTCTTTAGCCTTTGGATGAAGTATGTTATATCCATTAAGTTTTAGGGAAGGGGAGAAGGGAGGAAGCCAATCCGAATTAGAATCACTCTATGCTTTGTTCAAATTACCGTCATAAACATAAACTTGACATCATGTTCGTTTAAAAAGCCTACAGTACAGACACAGTATAATTAATTTTTTTTCCTGCCATCTTGGTTCCAAAACACTCCTGTTCTCCAAGCCCAACTCTTCATATAAGGGCAAAATTTATCAATGGAGCTCAAACTAGAAGATAAACTACATTAATCACATCATGAAAAGTTGAGAAATGTATCCCCATGAATAGTCACTCCACCACAATGCAGAGTTCTATTTACTCCAGTTCTCCAAGATGCATAACTAAAAATAAACCATCAATTTAATTGTGAATAAAAGCTATGGATTGAGTTTTGGTAGCCTAACCTGAAATATTTTAAAAAATTGATACTTTTCATAGCTATCAGTAATGTTCTTGACAACATTTTCCAACTGATAGAGTGCATGTTGATCAATCATTGGCAAATCATTGTAAGAAACAGTATTCTCTTCCTGCACAGAGGGGTAAAATTATTTTAGAATGAGAGATAAATTTCAAAAAAACAAAAAAAAAAAGGGAAATAAAAGCGCTAGGCAAGAGAAAGAAAAGAGTAACAAAATAGTAAATAATAACAGGTACACATCACTGATAAAATCACCCCAACTATATACTCGCACATGGGCGCTCTTATATGCAATGCAATTAAACATATCAAGATCGCATGCGCACACCTCTCCCCTGGCAACTAATGAAAAAGAGACAACAGATTCCGGAGCCATTTGCAATGCAAGGTAACCACACCAAATCATATGCTCACACCTAAGCACCATTCTCTCTGTCATACACAGATAGCCATCTCACCCCTCAACCAACTCAGCAGACCATCATACACATGCTGACAAGAATGGAAACAAATAGGAAAATGGGAGTGGAAAAGAGAAGATGGATGGGTGGAGCGAAAGGTATGTTAGGAGTAGGGAGGAAAATATATATGCCTTCCTTTTCAAAGGGAAATGTTTTATGCGAGAACTATTTTCCATCTTAGAGAAAACTGTTTTCCACCCTTCACAAACCAAACAATTAAAATGAGAAAATTATTTTCCTTGAAAATGTTTTCCGTCAAAACAATTGGAGTATTAAGAAACTTTTCTCGGTGAATGAAATCATTGCTTTAACAAATTGCTATAGATACCTTCCAATCGTACAGGTTTGACAAAAGATACCGCAGAGTTCCACGAAGCTTTCGATATATATCAGACATCTGACGAAGAATCTGTGCTCCAATCAACACATCACCTGTATAATCTACACTAGACACCCAAAGTCTGAGGACATCTGCTCCATAGGCTGGTGAATCTTTTTGGTTTTTACCACCATCAATTACGACTCGAGGATCTACAACATTACCCAAGGACTTGCTCATCTTTAAACCCTTTTCATCCAGTACAAATCCATGAGTTATAACACCAGAATATGGAGCAATTCCCCTAGTAGCAACACTAGTTAACAAAGAACTTTGAAACCACCCACGATGCTGATCTGATCCTTCAAAATACAAGTCTGCTGGAAGGCTGAGACCTTCTCTATTCTGCAAAATGGCAGCCCAAGACGAGCCAGAGTCAAACCAAACATCCATGGTATCAAAACCCTTCTCATATTCCGATGCTTTATCACGATATTTCTCAGGAAGTAATTCTTCTACAGTCATATACCACCAAGCATCACTTCCCTTCTCAGATATTATAGACTGAATATGATTGATAGTCTCTTGATTCATTAAAGGTTCCTTTGACACTCTATGATAGAATACAGGAATTGGGACACCCCATGTCCTCTGCCTAGAAATACACCAGTCGGAGCGACTTGCAGTCATAGTGCAGATCCTATTTTCTGCCTGAGCTGGGATCCATTTCACCCTGCTAATTGCTTCCATCGCTGCCTGTCGGAACCCTTCAACTGATGCAAACCACTGCTCAGTGGCTCTGAATATAGTAGGCTTTTTGGTTCGCCAATCATAGGGATACTTGTGCTTGTAGGGTTCTTCTATAATAAGTGATGAGCATTCGTCCAAGAAATCAACAACAGCCAAATTGCCATCCCCCAGTACATTTAGCCCACAAAATTGTCCAGCTTCTGCTGTGAACTTTCCATCATCATCCACAGGTGATAAGATAGGCAATTTATATTTCAGGCCAGTTACGTAATCCTCCTGGCCATGACCAGGGGCTGTGTGTACAAGTCCAGTTCCCGATTCAGTTGTGATATAGTCACCTCCTACCACCACCGGGCATTCTCGTTTATCAATCGGATGTGAATATTTGCAATTTTCTATATCTGAGCCCAAAAATGTTCTCTTGACAAGGAGTTTCACTCCCCATTTAGCTTCCAAGGTTTCTACAAGATCTGTGGCTACTATAAGACTAGGTTTTTTCAATGTTCCTAAAATACTACCAAACCTTTTCTTTCCACTAGAAGGAGACACTCCATCAACTTCTTCAGGTGAAAGTACTTCAACAACAGAATAACTGAGTTTTGCATTTACCGCAACAGCTGTGCATTGAAAAAGCAAGAGTAAACGCCACAGATCAATACACAAATTACATTTCTAAAAAAAGACCAGGCATGAGTTTATAACATCCATATGAGTATATAAGCGAGCTATGAAGCAAGGGAGACCAGTAGGTCACAGAAACTGAGATAAATCTTCCACCTCCTTTTATTGACATCGAGGGGACGGGGGTGGGGTGAGGCTGAGTTTCTGTTAACTCTCCTAAAGTCCTAAGTACATCCTCAGAATTTCTCCATTCCCTTGAAAAATTATAACTAAAATGTGACAAATAATAGGGCCTCTATGTTTCTTGGAGTCGGCAACAGTACTGCATTCAGATAGCTCTCATTTATAAAATATTGTCAACTATATTTAAGGAATCACACCCAACTCTAAATAGATATTACAGACACTGAAATGCATTGATATACTAAAGTGACAAGATTAAATGGAACAAGAACTACAAGTAATAGAGGTATTTAATTTGTGACTTATTGTTACTTGGAGTCCCCAAAAGTGTCTTTTGTTACTCCAGTAACAAGTAATATGCATCTATGTTACCCCAATAGAGCCAATACAAACAAAGTGGCCGTGGTTGCTTTTAATATCCGGAGAAGAGAGAGAATAAAAAAAAGTTTCACCTGCATTAGCTGGAATAGTCCATGGAGTTGTGGTCCATATAGCCAAACAAAGGTCTGGAAGGAATTCCTCCAATAAGCTACAGGAAGTTGAAGACAGTTCAACCACTTTAAAACTGGCATATATGCTCTTTGAAACATGTCCCTCGGGGTATTCCAGTTCAGCCTCTGCCAGAGCTGTTCGTGATGAGGGACTCCAGTGAACTGGTTTTCTGCCCCTATAAATATACCCTTTAAGGGCCATTTGGCCAAAAACTTCAATCTGGGCAGCTTCATAAGCAGGATCCAGAGTCATATAAGGCTTCTCCCAAGAAGCCCAGACTCCATAGCGTTTAAATGAAGCCATCTGATTTTTAACAGTCTCTTTAGCAAATTTTGCTGCCTTAGCTCTCAGTTTTAATGGAGTGAGCTCCTTTCTGGATTCTTGATCCATAGACTGCAAAACTTTTAACTCAATTGGAAGGCCATGACAATCCCAACCAGGAATATAATGAACCTCGTGATTTTGAAGAAGCTGCAAAGAGATTGTTGTAGAATAAGAAAACTTTATTAGACAGGACTCTTAGGCATGATGAACTTTATTAGACAGGACTGATTTGCACAATAACCAGCACCAATTTTGTAAAGAAAAGCTTTCACCTACAAATGCAGAATTCCAAATTTATTAAAAAAAAAAAGAAGTGTGAATAATCAAATAGATTATCCTCCAGCGTTGAAGACATAGCACATAACACCACCAAATTCAAAGCACTCCCTTGTGCAAAATGTACTTAGAAATTGAAAAGAATCAAACACAAATCTATTCAGAGATAAGAGTTCCTACGTTAGAAGCGTCATCACAATCATGGAATTTGAACAATGAAGGATAATGGACTAACGAAGGTAGCACAAGAATGGATACTGACACGGATACGGGTACGAAATGGATACGGGAAAACATCTATCTCAAAATAGGGGACACGGGTACGGGATATTAAAATTCATATAAATATATTTTTAACAAAAGAATTTGACCATAATTCCGTACTCACATTAGATCATACGATATCATATTAACAATGAGCTATATATGAAGGCTCACATATTATTTAACTATTACCTTATTTATCTTACTTTACTTAAATTTTCTCATAAAAAAAAAGTTAAAAAAGATAAGGTGGCATGTCACGAAACACAACAAACTATATCATAGTAGGATATGGTCTGAGACGTAACTTTGTGTGTCCAACGAGTGTCCGACACGGACACAACAGTTAGATGAAGTGCCCATGTATCCTAATGTCTAACGCTAGAGAAGAAAACATGCAAATAAATGGCATGCAAATCCCTATTTCAAGATGAACCTCCATGGAGCCACATGAAGCCCTACAGAAGCATCCTAGCCCAAGGCATACTTTTAAATAACAATCCATAAAAGCCATCTGCCAAAGGGAATATATTCAACAAAGTGAAGACCAAAAGCACACTACATAGCTCTTTTCTCAAAAGAAGTTTATTAAACATTACTTAATGCCTCCCCTCCCCCGGCAACATAAAAACTGAAACCAAAACTTGAAAATAGAAACCAAACAATTCAAAGTACCTGAACCACTGTCTTAGATTTTGGCATAAAAATTATCACATCAACAATTGGGGACTAGGTTCATTATGGATTTACAAATTCATTGAGATTGTGTCCTCTAATATCTTTGTTCTGTTTAGGAATAAACATAGGTCATAGCCTCTGCTGTATCAACATGTACCACTGGTAATTGATGGTAAGAATTATTGATTGTTCATCCTACTAATTCCTCCATATTATGTTCCCCTAATTTCCACAATTTTTACTTCTTTCACCTCTCTTATTTCTCTAATGTCCTTTATCTTTCTCCTTTTGCTATTTGTCTCCTTCCTTTTCCACAACCATAATCACAAAGCTTCATCTTAAAAACACTAACGTTGCACTACTGTCAAAGAACCCATATTATACTAACACTTGTATAGTACCGGGAATTTTTCTGCCTTTCTCACCCCAAAACCTATAAACTCCAGAGTAGGCTAGGACCAAATACTTGTCAGGCAAGCGCATTAAGTTAGAATACAAAGAATTGCAAAATTTACAAGAAGTCATTTAAACCAACAATTGCCGTAAGAAACAACAGGTAAACAGGCCATTATTTCTTATGGAATCAGTCCTACACTCCCACACTATAATATCATGTATGCAGATAAATTTCAATATAAGGAACATCACCTTGTATTTGTTAATTATATCCTTCAAAATCTTATTTAAAGCATGCCCAATGTGTAAATCTCCATTAGCATATGGTGGACCATCATGAAGAATGAAAGGACCCTGCCAGATTAAGAGAAAATCAGTCATGTTGTCAATTTACTGCACCAGAAGAAGTGTTACGAATTTACCCCGTCATTTCTCTCTACAACTCGCTTGAAAACTTGATTGTCTTCCCATAATTTCTGAATTTCAGGCTCCCTCACTACGGAATTGGCCCTCATACCAAAATTCGTCTTAGGCAAATTAACAGAGTCTTTGTACTTTCCATCTTGTTCTGTACCTGAATGGAAACAAGAATGTCCTAAGGAGTGAAGATAAAGAACAAAGAAACCATTTCCTCACATTTACCAACGTTACAGTATTAATTTTTGTATGCCGAGATTTATTGACGAAGACAAAACTCAAAAGGTATATGTTATAAATTATCTATAGTGGAATCGGGATTTTCTTTGGGTGGGGGGGATAGACAGAGAAAGAGAATCATATTCTATGGTGTTTGGCACTACTTAGGCTTTGGCTGTGCAAGTAAGGGAAGGCATAATGAGAAAAGAAGGATACTATTAACAGATTGCACCAGTATAGAAAACTATCCACGTGTTCTTAGAAGGTCCAAATCATCAAAGAACACCAATATCACTAATAATTATTTTAAAAATTTTGAAACTTTGCCTCTTTGGAGAGGTGCACTTAAGCAAATCTTTCCCATTACCAAAGCATGACCAACACCAAGGCCAAGGAATTAAACTCCCCTATCTTAGCCTCTTCCTGGAAAACTCAATCCAATTACAATGTAAACTGTAACGGCGAAACATTAAGAATGCAAAATAATTTAGCAGACATGGAACCCTCAATCCAAATAAAATGTAAACTATAACAGCAACTTAATCACTGATGTTTGAAACAAAAACAGGCACTGAAAACATAAATAGAATTGGCAATGACCTGATTATAATAATAATAATAATAATAATAATAATAATAATAATAATAATAATAATAATAATAATAATAATAATAATAATAATAATAATAATAATAATAATAATAATAATAATAATAATAATAATAATAATAATAATAATAATAATAATAATAATAATAATAATAGCTGGTTAGATAATTATACACTTCAATAGCAATCAAATTAGAGTGGTTACAATGCAACTAAGCTAACACCACAGTTACATATTCGATACAAATGCCAATAACAAATTCAAATAATTAAGACACGTACCGCCAGACCCTTTCTTTGCTGCCATGACCGGTCCACGAGACCTTCGCTTGGAAGATGGTAGATCCTGCACACCACTTGTTCGCGTACAATACGGAAATCTATTTGCAATTCTAACAGCAGAGCTACCTCTGATATTAAACAACAGCAAGCAATCAGGTCCGTCCCTGAGCCAAGGCAAGAGCGGCAGCCGCCCCGGGCTCAGGGAGAAAAGGTCCATTTTCATAGTTCCTTCCTACATTAAAAGGATTATAAACAACAGCCTGCAACACATTAGCAACCCAATTTGATTTCATTATCAAATTAGGCTCCAATAATCACATTGAATTCTTCTAGCTTAAGAATACCAATGTAAATTTCAAATAGCAAAGTTCCAGAAACAAATTTGATTGAATTTTTCATAGGTTCAGTGATTATAGGAAATATTTCAATGATTCAAATTATAAAGAACCCTAAATTGATTATAATGACAATTGAATTAATGATAAACGCTATATTCTGAAATTGATATTCGATGAATAACAGAAAGAAGAGGCAAGATATCTTACCTCAGAAGCTGCTTCAATGGAGGAAAGAAAGCTCAGAAGCTACTTCAATGGAGGAGAGTTAGAGAAAGAGAGATAAGGGGTTTAATGGTGCAGCGTAATAGTCAACGTGGAAAAGATAACGGAGTCGGGGTTTAATGGCATAATTGACATTTAATTTAGGAGTAATGACAACCGTCAGATCATAAACTCAATGACCATAATTTTATGTGTTTTTAGGAACAACAATTCAAGGATTAGGGGCGAACAAACTCGGTAATCGAACCGAACTGAAAACTAAATTGAATAACAAATATGGTTAGGTTTTTCGAAAGTGGATCGGTTTCGGTTTGCAAAATGAAGAAACCGAAATTATATGGTTTGAATTACAAAATCATTCATTTTTGATACATATTTCAGATTTTGACAGCAATGTAACACAATAACACCTAAAGTCAACATGAGCTCACTATTAGGTATTGTCCTCTTTGAACCTAGCCTTAATGATTTGCATGGTGCAAGATAGAAGTCCTACTTAAAAGGCCTCTATTGGGTTGAGATATCAACCCCATAAGGTTTCGTTCTTCTCAACTTCCGATGTGGGAGCCCTTAGGATAAGTTATGGAGTGACTATAGTAGTAAAGAGATGTCATTATGGGTTGTTAGTGTCAAAGAGTAGGACATGGACAAATGACAACCTGGAAGAAGGCTCCTTTGCCCTAACTATGATGCAAAAATAGAAATAAAAGGATGCAAATTCTTTAAATGGGTGGATAAAGTGACCTTTCTTCTTCGCAAATTGAGGTTATTTTGGGGTTACTGCAAGTAGGAAGGATAGATGAAGTGCATGACTATGAGGAAAGAATTGAAGCAATCAAACCAATATGTGTAGGAAGGCTTGTTGCTGAAGATAATGAAAAGGGTTGTAAGGCTGGATTTGGGGGTTCAATTGTGAGTTATATAAGGTAATTTTGCTTGCGTGTGTAGGGTTTTATTGGTTTAATTTGCTTTCAAGAAATGATTGCAAATGATTGTGATAAAATGTAATAAACAAAATAGTTTAGTCGACTACCTTAGTGATCTTGTATTTTGAAAATGTAATATTGTTTAATTTGCATTTGTAAGGTTGATTGCAGTTGCTTATTTGATTTAAAATACATCCATTTAATTACATGTGGTGCTTGGTTTGATATAAAATTATTATTCTAACTTTGTTGTTGGCTTGAGAAGGATACTCTTGACTGAAAGAGTACACTATTTGATCACTCTCAATGTCAATGTAGAAGGCTCTCTAAGTAGGTTGCATTGTGTTGGTTGTGGTTGTGCTCCTTGGGCTTGCTTTTGAGCAACCTAAAAAAGAAAGATGTTAATGATTGAAAATAGATGTTAATAGCTTTACAAAGATAGTATACTTACTATTCCTACCCTGTGAAAGTCATTTGGATATGTGTACACCCCAACTCCCTTATGTGCACGGGTAATGGATTGTCCCTTACAATCTCATCTACTTTGTTGCTTGACCTGTGCTACCTCTCTCGTCCTCCTTTTTTGAATCCCCTTTCATTATGACCTTTCAAACTATACATGTTAGTTGCATGTCATTACAACTCTAAATCTACACTTTTCTTCTAGCTGTATGTCATAGAAGAATATTAATTCTCATTTTACCTGATGTTGTCACTACAAGAAAACAGTTAATCACCGATGCCCAGAATAGTTGGTGAAATCGTCAAAATTGTCGATAATCGGTAACACCAATGACCAACTATCAGTGAGTGGTTAGCGGTACACGTTTTGTTGATTAATGCAGTATCACCGACGGTTTCAGATGTCGGTTGTCGGTGAATCTTTGACCACCGACAACTGCTAATCCCACTTGATATCTCTTGCTTTTCTTTAGTACGCTCTTTATTTTTTTTTCACCTAAGGTTCTACCACAACACCATTAGACTGAGGCCACTCTTGGGGACCATTAGTTTAAAGGCACACTATTCATGTGGTTGTCATTGGTATGGATGTCAATGGCACGGGGTGAGATGGATGTTAGTTTTTCCATTCATATCGTCGTGGTGGGTTAATTTTTTTTTTTTTTTTAAACAAATCAATTCATTAATAAAAAGTCATCCGACATCTACAAATGAAATCTAAATTAACAAATACATAAAATTGAATCAAATTAGGGTTTCCTTTATCAAAGCTACGATCGTTGAAAAAATCTTGCATTGTGGGACATCTCTCGCACACATCGCTGGAATATACAACCTTTTCGAAGAGACGGTCTAACGATTTGTTGTAGCCGTAAGGATGATTCTCATCTGATTCGCCTGAACGCATTTGAAAACTTGACAACCGTTACGATCCCGAACAATTTTTTACCAAAAAAAATTGACAATAGGGTCAAAGATGATTACCTTTTTTATGAACCCTAACACACAAACAAACCCTAAACATAAATAAACAACTAAGGGTTCGTTTGGCATCATTTTCAGTTTTTTGTTTTTTCAAAACCGAAAACTAGTTTTAGTTTTTAATTCTTTGTTTTTAAAAACTGTTTTCATTACTCAGTTTTGAGTTTACAGTCAACTCTCATACTACCAAATCATTTATAGCTTTAATCAACTCTTATATTACCTATAGCTGCTTATTTATTTTCACACAAAAGAAATATACATATATTTCAATAATAAATTTATTGATTGAATAAGGTTATAATAAAATTTAAAGGAACAACTACGAAAAAAAAGTAACAATAAAATAGTCAAATTGCGAAATTTGTCTTTCCCACAATCGTGTCGCCAAACGATCTTTTGAAATTGAGTCATTCTTTGAAGTTCTTTCTGACTTATAGAAGGATTCACTAGGTCCTCGGATCAGTTGTTGTTGATTGCATTTTCTTCTAGTTCGACATTTTCATCCGCATACTGTATGAACAAAGGGAGTTTAAGATGTATGGAAACAAAGTGTAAGAAGATGAGTCATGTTATAGGAAGTTTAAGAGATAACCTTTTCCAAATAGTACTGTACGAGTAGTTTATTTTGTAAGTAATGTTTTCACTACTAGCTCAAGGAGGCACTATTTCTTAGTACTAGAGCAGTATATATTCTTGACATAGCAATAGATCAGAGGCAGGGGAATCGTCAATTACATCCCCAATTTTATCAAATGCCTATGGCCTACACTTAATTAGCAACAGAAGCAATTCGTAGACTAAAAACTCCAGATCCAACTCACACAACCAGATCACCAGATCGATACTACATAGAATTGATCTGATATGCTGCCCACAAATTCAAGTAATTCAATTTGCAACATGATGTATTATTGAATTTATACTAACAATTAATCAACATACACTCATATTATTTCAGAAAAAAAAAAGCCCCAATTATAAAAGCCAAAATAAATTATACAGAAATTAGACGAAGAACGATTAAAATTTAGAAAAATAAAGAACAAAAGATAACCAATTTTGATGAAAGAAATTGAATACAACCAAATTTAACAACAAAAACATCAACAACTTTACAAATTAACAAAGTAAAAAGAAAAACAAGGAGAAACGTGGTGATTATAAATGAATTTAAAAGGAAAGAGATCAAAGAGGAGAACGCTCCATACCTGTAATTGCTTGCTTCTTCAATCTTGAGAATGATTAAGGTTTGAGGAAGAAAGATGAAATATCGAATTTTGAAGGAGAAACCAATTGATGAAACAAGCGTAGCTTTGACTTGTTTTTTTTTTTTTTTTTTTTTTTTATTATTATTATAATTATTATTATTTTTATTTAAAAAAAAAAAAAAAACCCCAAGAACTGCTTTGAGGTGTTTTAGGTTTACTGCTGTAGTTTTTACAAAATAGATGTAAAGTTGTTTTATTAAGCTACTAGATGAACCCCGTGCGATGCACGGTTTGTTAGTATTTTTTTGTAAGAAAATATTTTCATATTTATGTTATTAAAACTGTTATTATATTAGTTTTAAAATATTAGAATAAAATTCCTAATCTCAAAAGATAATATTTTGTATTTAATTAATTTAAACCTTAAAATCTCATTCGTCAATTTTGCTTACGTGGCATTTGAATTATTTAATTGTAAAAGAAATTAATAATCTCTTATTTAATTGGTTACAACTTAAATTTACAATCCTACGTGGCGCGCTAAGAAAATTAAATCCTACGTGGCTCTCTAAAAACTCGGGGAAAAACTCCCCTTTATATATATATTAGATTTTACCAAACACTGTTTTGTTTTATTTTGGGGGTAAAAAACAAAAAAAAAAACAAAAACAGCAATGATGCCAAACATACCCTAAACTAACAAAAACTAACGACTCCACTATAGGGAGACACTAAACTAAAGGGAGACGGACAAAAATCTACACTACTTGTATAGATTTATTGAAACCTAAAATGTAACACCCCAATAATACTCCCTTTTCCAAACCACTTATTTTAAATAAAAATAGAGGAGAACCATTGGCATGTTACCGCCACGTGTTAAAACGTTAAGGCTTTATCAAAGTATTGCAGCGGAAATCCAACTTAAATCTTAAAATATATAATTTAGAAAACCAATAAGTCAAAGCTTACAAATTGGAACCATAAAGACCCTTATTTAAAACCAAACCAATAATCAAAGTCCCAAAACATAATTAAAGTAGTAAAACATAAATAAGTTCAACACAAAGAACGAATACTCTCAATCACACCAATCCCTTGACAATGGGTATGTCAAATTCCCGAATTTCACATCATCAAGCTAACCTGTGCAATACTGCTCCCCAATAATATAAGTGTAATAATTGGATCATCACAGGGTCATTGAAAGGCGAAGGCCATAACCAAAAGAAAACACACAAAAGCACGCAATCAGCAAAGCTGAGTACATACAATCTACAACGTACCAAGCCTAGCATGCTCAACTAATTAAAGTAAATAAACATACAACACAAATTCATTAATCAAGAATCCACACTTAGACAATTCAATCGACTCAACATACTTGCTAATCAATTCCAAACACTTGACTCTTTATATTTAATTTAATTAATTTAGTTGGAGTAAGCAATAGACGAGGTTGTCCATTCCACCAAATCATTTTGGTCCCAAATGACCATTTAAAATAAAAGTTTAGCGCGATGCAAGAATGGGTGCGACTCCATTCTCACAAAGTTAGTCTAGGATC